GTGTATCTGTGAGTTGACAGGCGGAGGGAGAGAGGCATGGAGGGCAGAAACTGGTGGGGCCTGGGAAGGGAAGCACCACTGGGGAGCAGGATGTGGGGGGGAAAAAAAGAGGGAAATGGGTCTTTGCTGTAACATGATGTTTATTCTCGTGATGTATTTAACTGTAGAAGACAACAGAGGATTGTCTGTTTGGTTATACGAGAAAAACTTGAATACAAATACCAAAACATTCGTTGACGAACATTTAAGAGAAATCTTGTAATGGAAAAGACTTACATTTATTAAAAAAAAAATTGTAGTAATATTTAACTTGGGAGAATGTATTTGTCTGTGCTGTGTAAATATCAACATGCTGATATATATGATTATATGTACACAGTTGGATAATTGTGCACTCCATAGAAGTTGTTATACAACAAATGTTGAGCACAGAGTTATTCAATTGCATTTACTTTGGTTCTGTTTAGGAGCTCACCTAGTTTAGCCTTTGCCCTTCAATTCCCTTAAATTATTCATAGCACAATAATGTTTTTACCTCAGAATCTATTAACTTCTTTTTTTATTTTCTCATTATGTTTTTTTCATTTGATCAGCATTACTGATTTAAGAAACAGGGTGAAGGCTCCTAAAAAAATATGGAAAATAATTAAAGAAGAGAATTATCTATATAAAAAGAGAAGAGAAAGGGTGGTGTTTGGTAATAACTGAATAGATGATAACAGTGGGTTTTTACGTTGGTTGTTTCAACTTTATTTATGTTTTTATATATATTTTTCCATCAAATATCACTGTAAAGCAAGGATGAACTCTTGTAAAACAGAATATTTTACATCCTGACATATAAAATCAAAAGTTGCATAGGGTTAAGAAAATTAGTGAGCATGGTAGCATCTCATATTTGCCGTGCTGTTTCCAAAACTGCTGTAGTGTGCTGTCAGTATGAAAATTGTGAATCAGGGCAGTGAACAACAGTTTTAGCAACGTGTGTTTGTTTATTCGTTTGGATTTATGTAATGGCATCAAACAAATGTTGTCAATGAACCTCGTCCTGTTTTGATCGCCTTTTATGTGGTCCAGAAAGTTGTAAGACAGAGTCATATAGTTTTTTAACTGGTGTTTCTATCACACTGTAATCAGTGGCATCCATACTCACATTAACATGAACTGTAGGTAAATGAGAATCAAGTATATTACACTTTAAAGACCATAGTTATGCCATAGTAAACACATATTATTATGCGGCCGTCTGAACAGTACGTCTCCATATATACTTCTCCTGCATCCTCAATCCTTCTTTGTCTCTTCTTTCTCTGAAGGCAAGCAAATTTACTGCATGCATCCTTATATCCTAAAGCATCTCTAAACATATATGAGGGACTGAGGCTCAAAGCTGCAGGAAAGTTAAACTACACAGTAATACCATGGTGTGTTTGATCCCTCATAGTGGTTACTGCACAGCACATACAGCAGCTCTGCTATATTCTACTCGAAGCACAAGTATGTGCTGCAATAATTACTTCTTTCCAGATATAAATACACCTGTCCTACTGCCAATCCTCTGTTTGGATATACAAGATCATGTTTGCCAAATGGTAAGAAATGTGTCTTGATTGGTAGTTTTTGCTTCCACAGTCCTCATCCGAATGAATTGTTGTCCATCTCCAGTATATCGATCCATTGCACAGCCTTGGACTCATTTCTTTTAAATCAGGGTTATTTGATTCAGGCGGTGTAGAAGCACCTGGCTTTCTCTCTTCCTCTAGTGGCCCCCCACCTCTGTTTCTTTCTCTCTTTCACTGTAGCTCTTATAAATATGCTGAAATGAAATATACTCTGTTGTTAGTGGTGAATGATGTCTTGTGGTACTCTCTACGCCTTTGGATAGTGCTGTGTTTATTGTGTATGATGTATTCATATTAGTATTTATGATAATGATAAGTCAGAGAAAAAAAATATCCAAGACTCTCCAGAATTCTGCTGTATTCTTATTATATGGGATCCATGTGAAACAAAATGAAATAAACTTGAAATTATTCTGTTGAAGGTTAAGATGTGTACTTCTGTTCATAGGAGTTGCTTGTCTTTACTTGGTTGAGTTGGGTTTGTTAAAAGTATGATTCAAAATCCCCCACTATTCTACAGTAAACAGTGTCTAAAACCTAGCAAAGAAGCTCAGATAAAGGTGACATAAACAAGATTAGTCTATTTAGTGACAGTAGCCTGCGGTTTCTAAAATGCAGATGTTTCGATATTTCTATGGTTGGCCTATATATCATTTAAACACCATTTCAGGCAGGCTGTGGACCAGTATTCAGGTTATAATTTGACCCGAGGGTTGCACCCAATCTGTGGTTTTGGTGAGGACTCTACATTGCACTCCCTAGTGGTCAGAGGAAGGTACCGACTGAAGTGGTTTCCTCTGTTCACTTCCCCTTGTTATATGAGAATTATTATTTCTCAATTTTAATAGACTTGTCCATATAAATAAGGCAAGGAAGAAGATTTAAGCGATAAACAGAGTGCATTACCACTGCAAAATGCACTGTAGAAGCAGTTCAGTCAGGACCACTTTTGTCAAAATATCTTATTCCAAAGCAGAATATTACATTTGGCGGTATGGCTCTGTTCTGGGACCTCCTTGTCCTTCCACGTGCCTACGTGGAAAACCTTAAGGCAGGGAGAGCACACCTCCCTGCCCTTCCATGTGCATACATAGAAACGTTTAAGACAAGAAGAGCGGCAGCAGAGACCCCCCCAGGGTACAGAACAGAGAACAGAAAATGACATTGATTAATTAGAAACAACATAAAAAGGAGGAGCTGGGGTGGAGGTGGGTTGCAAAAAGGCTTGTAGAGGAAGCAGCAGAGATAAAGCAGCTTAAATAAGGCGCCATGAATGATATTTGCCAATTGGATGCTTGAGGGAATCAGGTGAGCTGTCAGCTGACTGTGTATGGTTTCCAATAAGAACCTGAGAGGAACCTTAGATCCATCAGCTGATGTATGTTTATGACAAGCTGTGACCATATGATATAGATTGATACTGATTTCGTGGCCTGCCTGAACTAACACTATGCTCAATTAGTGGTGCAAAACTGATTTTGAGCTTATAAGATAATTGTTTTTAATTGGCTACCAGGGTGTGGATACTGTTTCAACACAGATCTAAGAATCAATATGATAAAAGTATAAAATTTATGATGATCACATGTTATACTATAATGTAATACTTTGACCTGTGCACACAAAGGTAGAGCCCTCTGCTATTAAGTGTGCATGTCTTATCAGTTTGTTCTATGACTGTATGATATGAATTATTTTAAAATAAGTTACTTATTAAAACCTCTCACTGTATATTTAAATGAACAATCTGTATCTAATCTATTTATAACCAGTTGTGTCTCATACTAAATACTAAATCACAACCACAACTGACTTGGAAATCTGCACACCAATTAGGATATGATGCCTTCAAAACTGTTGGAAATATCACTATCTTTAGTTGAAGGAGTACAAACAACTGCTTGTATCATGAACAATAGTGGCCAGAGCATTAAGATAATTTACTTTATTGATTCAAACGCCTATGTACTTTTAGACGTTTTAATCTATAACAATGCAACATATTTTATAAACTGATGGTTTTGTGTAAAAATCTTTATCTAAAAAGTAACTATTGACTACAGCTTTGGAATAAACACAGTGGAGTTAACCCCTGAAATAAAGAGAAGTAGAAGTAGGGCTGTAAGTAGTATTAAAGGGAAAGTACTGAGCTACAACAGTAAGAGACAACATGCAGGAATGACTCATTTAAAATGGTTGAAGAGTTAATGAGTAACAACTGATGGTCAAGGTGACTTAAATGATGACATTTCTTCTCATATGACTCATATGTTTTTACTAGTAGGAGTTTGCCTCTCGACCAGCTACAACATTAAAATGCTACTTACACATGAATGCATCAATAATTGTCTCCCATTATATGACATGTAATCATATAACACTCTGAAAGGGACCATTCGGCATAAGGTGTGCTTTTACTTTTGTACATTTTTCCACTAATACTTAGCACAAGCGGTGGGAAAAGTACTCAGATCCTTATAAATATTTAAAATATTAAAGTGTAAAAATACATTTTATGGAAAATAGGGCATTATGAGTGATATATTATTAAACATTACATTATGAGAGATGATACAGATGCATCAGTGTGTAAGTAGCATTTTACTGTTGTAGCAGATCGAGCTGGAGCTTTAACAAGGCAATTCAAAGTGCTTTACACACAACATAAAGGCATTAAGACAAGATGTAAAAGAAATACAAGGCAATGTTAAAAGACAGGCACAAATAGGATTTAAAAGGATTCAAGCAAGGTAAAATATTAGAATAATATAGAATCAAACAGATTAAACAAAAAACATACATCGTACAAAAGTATTAGCATATAAATATACTTAAATTACCAAAAGTATAAGAATAATGTATAGGCCTTTCATATTATCATACTATGGTTACTGATGCATTAAAGTTCAGATCAATTAATACTGAAGCCTCTAAATGTGGAGCTAATTTAATTATTATACTGAAGCTAAATAAGTAAAAAAAAAAGTACGTTTTCTGCCTCTGAACTGTACTGTAGAGGAGTCTAAGTGTAAAGTAAAACAAGCAGAGGAAGGAGAAGAAGAAAAGGAAGAGGAAGGAGAAGACAATGAAGTACTTTATTAAAGAGTAACTACCATCTCTCTTGGGGAATTCAAATTCAGATTACTCAAGTAAAGTTCAAGTGCTTCAAACCTGTACTTAAGTACATTGCTCGAAGGAATAACACTTACTATCCACCAGTATTAGCAGGTAAAAAAACAAAACAAAAAAACAATAATAACTTTTGCAACAGGTCTTAACAGACGTTTCCGAGGAGCCCGTGAAGGCAGCATGAGAGCGGCTCGGCTCGGCTCGGCTCGGCGGTGCCAACAGCAGCTCCCCCAGAGAAAAGTGAAAGCCAACGCCCCGCTGTCAGCTCCTCAGCTCCTCCCTCCTCCTTCTCCAGAAAGCACAGTTCCTGCAGAGCTACTGTGGTCGTGACTGAGCTCCACCAGGGTCTATTTCACCGAAACTTTTCACCGGACATTCATCAGACAGGAGGAAAAAGAAAACACACTCAAAAAGGGGGGGAGCAGCGGCCAACACTGGGACTATTCTTTACCAAACTTATCAAGACAAGTTTGTATATTCAAACGCTGTTCGTCTGCTGCTGGCGATAAGGCTCTAATACAGCATACTGTCGCTATAATAAGTTAGTTATTATCACAGAATGGCTGATACAACCGCGACCAGCCCCGGTGCGAACTGCCTGGAGAAGCTGAAAAGTTACGTGAGGACCCCAAAAGGGTTTATTCTGGCAGCAGAAATAGTAAGTTCACCGACCTGGGCAGCTACCATGTAACTTTTAGCTTCTGTGCAAGTCCTGTCTTGCTCACACTGTTGTTGTGTATGTTGTGTGTTTAAGCAGCCTGCAGCTAATCAATATTTAATGGATATTAAAGTGGGTTAATGTAGCCTACATTGTTGTTATTGATTATTCTCACTATTAAAGGCTACATCGAGGAGAGAGTTATCCCAGGCCCTGATGTACTAATGTAATTTACTAATGATAGACTAATGTCTTATTTTAATTTCTGTCACTAATCCTCTAGTTTTCTTCTTTAAAGGCTGTTTTTGTCTCACTTTCTTTTTTAAAACTCTAGTCTAGTCAGCGGGAATGAAAAGCATGTGGTCTGTTGGTGGTGGAGGGGGAGAGGGGTGAGAGATCATGAACAGAGGTTAAGGGTTTCCACCTGTCACTTGTGCTCCACTGTTTTCTCATTTGGCACCAAGGAGCCAAATGCTGAGCGTTAATGGCAGATGAAAGGTCATGTGGGTTAACTCGACCCAGTGACTGTTGTCAGGCATTCTCCTTTTCTCCTTTTTTTACCACAGGCTGCATACTATTTGTAGTAGTAGCCCAAATATGGAGGGGAGAAAATGCAATGCATCACATTCCTAGTTGTATAAAGGCTCATAAAGTCCCCCCCCCCCATCGTGTTATGTTTTTGCACATCTGCTTCTAGTTATCATATGTATACATGTTTAAATAGAAACATCAGGACAACACTTAAGAGTAATAATGAATGAGCGGGGTGTGTAGTGTTAAGTGTCCCACTTCCTGGCAACGTACTACCACTTCCTGTCTGGGAACACCTTATTTTATTTATACTGTCCTTGACCGCTGTTTGCACATGATTGCCTTTGTTTGCATTTCACAGTGGTGGGTTCTCTTAACACATGAGTCACTTTTCCCTGCATGTCTTCACTTACGTTCATGAGATTCTCACCAGGCTTATGCAGTCATACCTCGCAGTAGCTTGTTACCGTAACTGTGTTTTTTAAGAAGCACCTTTTTATCACCGATTTTAAAAAAGGGGGGAAAAAGAAAAAAAGGTTCTGCTCTCATAACTCAATGTGCTCATTATAGAGCAGGCTCTCAGATGTTGGTGGTCAGTGGTCCACCCACTGCTACGTGTTCGGAGGTAATGGAAATTCCAGCCTGTGTGTGAAGTTTGGTTCCTGGGAACAAAGAACGCGTGAATAGCTTAGCACACATCTCCAGTGTGCCATTCAAAAGATAGCTTCATGCTTCACTTGATACACTCTGGTAGTTTGTTGTTCGCTCTCTCTCTCTCTCTTTCTCTCTCTCTCTCTCTCTCCCACACACACACACACACCCACCCACATAACTTTGCTGGAGCCTGGAAATCTCTAAAAGGAAGTAATCTCTGATGGTGGATGTCTCAAATAGTTTACAGTGTAGGGGAGAGGGCTGTGAAGTGAAACAGGAAGACAAATGGTCATTACTGCTTGTTATGTCTAATTTAATGGGAAATGCGGTGTTTAACTCCCGGCAATCAGGATTACTGAGCGTAATACCAGCTGATAAACCAACAGTATGAAAGAGTAAATGTCTGCAAGCTCTGACAGTGAGGTTCCACAGCTTGCCAAGTTACAGTTTAATCCAGAGTTATTTAGTTGTTTCCTTTATTCTGGCTGTCAGAGGCATGAACACACATGAAGCTGCAGAACGACATACAGATCACACACCCATGTAGCGCACGTTTCTGTTTGTCATGCGGCACAGTTAAGCTGGTAGTGTTAAATCAGGATGAGTCATGCTGAGCTGCTCTTTCACCTACCTTTTATGTTATGTGTATGTATGGTTTGAAAAAGGGTGGAAAGAAAAGCAGGGAGGAGAATGAAGGTTGAGCAAGTGAGTGAAAATGATGAGGAAGAAGAGTGATGAAACCTTACATTTTCCTACTCGACACACATGGTATACACTTTAGTGAGTCACAAGCAAGCTCTACTAAAAAAAAAAACACCCCAAAATGTAAGTGACTTCCCTAGCAACCGTTGCTGTTTGGTGTGTCTCTGTACCACGGACTAGCTCTTGGCTCTGATGTTGCTGCTGACTATAATTAGCCAAGCATTCACGACAATTTCCCTCCAGTCAGTTTAAGAGAGCAGCTCATTATACTGATGTGAATAGGTCCTAGCCGGGGATCTTAAAAAGCTGACCCATGCAAACAGATCTGCCGCTGTGTGAAAAACATAAAGGTGTCAACATCTCACAGCCTTTTCTTGTTCTGAGGGACTCTTGTGTAGTGGGTGTTTCTCTGTGTGACGGCCTCCTCAGTAGCCGCTGCCCTCAGAGCAGCCGGCTCCGGCCTGAATAGAGCCTCTTTTGTGCAGGGCCTTGGCCTCGACCACCCCGCTACTCCACAGAGGCAGCCTGTGCCAGTCTCGAGAACACATGAACTACTGATGCATCTCGCTGGCTGGCTGCAGGTTTGCATAACAGTTGTGGATGAGGGGAGGGGAAGCAGCAGTGACAGATGCAGGGCTGGTGTCGAGTCAGTTACATCATGCGTGTATTATATAGACTGCAGTGATTTGACACTTGTCGCCACTGAGGTGTCTGTGTCTGAGAATAAAACATTGCGGTGCGCAAGACATGCTTTTTTTAAATACACATCATGTCCTGTTTATTTAGTAAGTGTTGCAAGAATATTATTATTATTATCTGCCTGCGTCAAGTGTGATCCTGTGTGGGATACTGTATATGTACTTATATGTTCTGTGGCCTTTGTGTTGTATATGTATCTATATGTTCTGTGTCTTTGTTGATGTCCTGAGCACACTGAAGCAAATCCCTAGCAACTTGCACCGAGTTGTATGGCAATAAAGTATTGAATCTTGAATAAATGATTTGACTCATCACAGGAAACCAGTGTAGATTTTAGTTCAGTGGACTATATGTAACTACAGAATTTATCATGTCATTCTAACTTTAATTATATGTTTTATAGAAGATTTGAGATTCAAAGGTTTATTTGTCACATGCTGATACAATATGTCCAATGAAATTCAGAGTAAGGAGAGTAAAAATAATAAGTATTTGTAATATGTTGAAGAGTTGAAGCCATTTTTCAACAGATATGCCAAAGATTTCATGGATTGTTGTTCTGACAAAAATATATATTTTATGATATCATCTAGAGCAGTAGTTCCCAACCTTTTTCCTTAAGGGACACTGACTAAGTGACATATTTCATGGATATTTCCTATTATATTCAAAACTGTACAACTAAACCAAACAATGAACACAGTTACTGCAAGACGTTTGTGTAAAATTAGTTATTTGGATGAGCAGATTATTTCCTGTTTAGGGAACTTTTATAAAATTGTCTGTTATATGTATCTTTTACAATCATTTTTAACAATCATATATACTTCTTTTTTGACAATATCAATGTTTTCTTGGCCATTGTTCTATTAGATAATTAATAGAAGAGAATGAGATGAGAAATAGGCCTAATGCGTAAAATCGTCTTACATGCCTTAAAATTAAGAAATTCTAGTGACCCCTAATGAAGCTTTGGTGACCCCCCGACCCACAGGTTGGGAACCACTGATCTAGAGCTGTGAGACATTAGGGAGCTTAAGTATATATTGGCACACACAATGCATAGTAGGAAATCTTTCCAGTATACAAAAATATTATTTGTACAAATAAGCAGTGCAAAGGAATGTTAAATCTACGTTGTAGAAAAGGACAATGAAACAAATGCTGTTTAGCTGCTTAGAAATGGGGCTTGTAACTATTTGAAATTTCCACTCCTTCACAGCTGTCATGTGTTGTGTGAATGCATCTTCCCACACAGTTTGACAGTAGCAACAATAGCGGTATTGAAAAAAAGGCGGATGCAGGTTCAGGGCTGTAGGCTGCCTAAGTTTAGGATTTCTCCACGTTGGCAGCATTTCAGTGCAATGGACTGAGAAGAATGCATGCTGACTTTTTTCCCTCATATGGAAAAATATGATCCTGATGGAACAAACACGTGCTGTAAATCTAAGGAGGGCTCAGCATGTGATAGACAGTTTTATTTGACAGAGTGCATTGTAATCCATCCAGTTGTCTCACCATCACCAACAGTATTTCTGAGTAGAAAAGATTTTTTCTTGGCAAAAATTGTTGTTTTTCTGTGGATGTTCAGCTGACTGGAGTAAATTAAACTATTGACTCTCTGGCTGGTCTTGGCTATTGAGTGGACACAGATCTCTTTCTGTTACTGAGCTCTGAGATGATTAGTCCTATCTCAGGTGAATTGCAGCTGATCTATATTAGGGCTGCAACTAACCATTATTTTCATAATCTATTTAATCTGTTGATCATTTTCCCAATTAATCGATCAGTTGTTTGGTCCAGAAAGTGATTATCACTGTTTCCCGAAAAGACCAAGAGGACGTCCTTAAATATTAATTTGTCATGGTAAACTAAAGAAACCAGAAAATATTCACATTTAAGAAGCCAAAATCACAGAATGAATCATAGCCGCTCTAATCTATATACTGTATCTATATCCAGTCACGGGGGGGGATTTAGGCAGTATCTGTTAGTCTTCAGTGATATCTTTTCTTTTTTTGTCCTTTATGACATCAATCATTAATCTTTCTGTTTTCTGTTTCACTCTTAGCTCATCAGTTTCATTATCATCATCTGCTACGCTGCATCTCTGTATGGAGGCTACTCCGCTGTGGCCATCTGCGAGATGGTCTTTGCCATGGTCTTCTTCGGCATCTTCATGATGGAGATGGACAAGCAGATCCAAGTGGTCAACTGGGTCTGGAGCGTGAGTCCTCAACGTGTCTTACCACACACAATCTTGCAGCAATCGTACACAGTTGCACAATGCCTAAATCTTCTTCTTTCCTCTTTCGTGCAGGATCTTTTCCGTGCTGGTATCGGCGCTGTCCTTTACATCATCACTTCTCTGATCTGTGTGATCGGAGGAGCGGGGGACGGTGCTCGTATCGCAGGCGGGGTCAGTGAATCCGCCGCACTTGCTTATGTCTCATTGTTTGTTATGACAACTGTGTACAATTATCTATGAATCAGGTTCTTTGTAGGTGTGGATATTGAAACCAGGGGATGGTTGACATGATAACACACAAAGTCACTCAGTGTTGAGTAACATTTTCATTTCAAATCTTGTTTGATGCTTCCTTCCTGTTTAGGTCAAGTGCATACTGCAAGCTTTTAACCAGCATTTGCCTGTCTCAAACCCATTTGTTTGGATCTCAGACAAAAAACCTCAACTAAATATGGTGTTGATACAGCTGATAACTAGACCATTGAGGGAAATCAAGTAACACACTATCAAAGGAGTTAATCCTGTGGCGGTATTACAATTAATTGAATGTCAGTTTAAATTCAAGTGTATTACAACACAAACTAACTTTTATCAATATTTCCTTTTTTTCATGAGCTATTTTACTCTAGATATTTGTGTGAATGGGCTCGGTCTACTGTATGTCTGATGTCAGTCCGATTTCGGTAGCTTACAATGTAAATTTCACATCTCTTTTTCCCCCCACATCCTTTCTTGTGGCCTGTGTAAACCCATTCTGCACCACGTCTGCACCTGTAACTGACGTGGGACGCACAAGTTTCTGTTTCTGAATATCGCTGTTAGTTGTGGATTTCCCCAAGTGGAATAATCTTGTCTGAGATCTGTTATATGGTTTGCCCACTTTGGAGATTCTGAAAGTCTTGCAGCCTGCACTTGACTTTAGCTATGTAACATGAAATATGAGAGGTTTATTCTAGATAAACTACAGTATTTTAAAGCATTTATTATGTTGTTGTTTTTTTATTAATGTTTTATGTGACCAGTGAATTTGATTATTGTAGTGATTCTGATTCTGAGTTGTTGTTCCTTAGGTATTTGGTTTGATCGCTGGTCTGCTCTTTGCCTACGATACCTACACCATATTCCTGCAAATCAAGAGCAGCAGGCAGCACATGGCAGCTTCCACTGGTGAGAACAACAGATATTTATATTTATGATACACTCTGAACACGCTCTGTATGAAAATAATCTGCCTTGTTTCATATGTACAGCAAGTTTTTTTTTCTTTCTTACAGATGACAGAGTTTAAACACTCCAAGACACATTTACCTCTGTCAAGATCGCAGCAGGACAACAAAGAGTAACGTGTGCAGAAGTTAACGGAAGAGTGGAGCAGAGAGGACGATGGACAGTAAAATGAACAGGTCACAGTTTAATCAATGCCACTCTATGGCGTGAACAGAACAGAGATATATATTTTAGGGCCGTGCTTGAGAGGAGGATGATGTAGTCGGAGCAAGTGGTACTGTACATCTGTGCCTGCACTTCAGATAAAAATGTGTCATGAGTAGTACATGAGGAATTCCTCTCACAAACCTTTAGGCCAACCTCAATGTACCACTGATTTAAAAAGGGACAACTGTAAATAATAGGCAATGGTTGATGGCATCAAGCAGCTTGTCTAATACAAATGTCTACTGTTAATGGACTGCTGTAGTGAGTAGTAACTGTGTTTGGTCTTTAGAAGTAACTGACATGAATGGGTGCTTTAAAAAAATTGTTTAACATTATACTGTATTTCCTCAAATAGTGGCCGGGGCCTTTATTTACCTCAAGTGCAGAATTTAACAGGCCTTTAGTTGAAGCAGGCCTTTATTTTTAATTCAATTCTGTTCGATTATTGTCATATTTGAATGCCTTATTTTTATCTGCCTAATACAAACCTGTATCCATTTCAAATTAAAAGCCTTTTAGCATTTCAGTGGACAGAAACCTGTAATTTCTTAACAAGGCTTTTATTGTGAAACATTTGCAAGAAAATGTTGTGGAAAACTCATTGACTGTGTTCTAAATCACATATTAACGTACACTATTGATACTCAGTATGGTGTTAAATTGAGTATGTAGGGCGTTCCAACTGTGTAGTATGTGAATCATGTGTACACGAGTAATACCCTGGATGTATACTAGATTAGCAAGAATGCTTCCTGCACATACTCCACCGCCCCAAAATGCATTGTGTTGCTTCAGACTGTTCACTTCTGAGAATATTTGAGACAAGAAATTAACTGTATAGATTACAAATATTAGCAAATTTAACAAAATCCGCTCACAGACCCCCTCTTGCCCAATTTGCCCCACAGATCACTGCAGCCAACGGAGCAGACACATTTCTATGTACTGTATCATATTCAGTCTGTTTAGTTAAGTTTAAATATATAAGATAACTTACTTAATCAGAGACTTTCAGCCTTTACCTTTTCCCCCCATTTTTCTGCTTGATTATTCTCATTGTGAACAATCGTCACACTTAATGGTTCATTTATTAGGCAGTAAGCAGCACACACTTACTGAGCATGTAGTAGGCAGTACGTTAGTGTGCAATTTCAAACACAGCCATTGATTTGAAAGGTTCCCATACACCACTTGAAATGTAGCTGCTGCCTCTTGTGGTGCTTGTATGTTACTACAAAATACAGTTGGGCTTAGACACATGCCCCCCCCTCCCTTATACAGCTTGTTGAAGGTGGGAATGTGGCACCATTTTGTATTCCATGTGTGTATACATACACACATGGAATGAGTTTTTCTGCCATTAAGTCGACAGCAGAAATAGTAAAAGAGCAGAATCTACGTTAGTATAAAACACAGACAGTGTTACAGGTCATGCAGCATGCTATCTAAAAATCACACACTGGAGCAGCAGTATGCCGCCATTGTTCGGTTAGCAAAGCCTGCGTAATGACGGGTCTTCTCTACAGCACTATTGCGGGGTCTCTCTGAGAAGGTCTACAAACAAATACACCCGCAGTAACTGAAATTGGACATCGACACTTCAGATGTTGAAAATAGCATGATTATATTGTTGGATTTACTAAATTAAAGTGATGTTACGTATACATTACACTTAGTTGGCATGTGCATAACATGGCAGCCCGCCTGGAGTTTATCCACCCGTGTGCGCTTCAGTGGTCGGAAGATTAGAAAGATATGAGTGCAGTCCATTTACCATTTACCTTGTTTGTCCTGTATTTGGGGCCTGCCTTTATTTGTTTGTGCCCCCAGTCAATAATCGATCGACCTTGACAACCAGCTTTTATTTGAGGAAATACGGTTGTTATGCTCTTCTTGAGTGTGTTTTCTGTATTCTGAGTGAGGTTTCTCAGCTGGCCAAACATTTCCTGCTCTGTTATTTAATCGTTGCCGTTTTGTGTGCTCCCTGTGTTAGAGTGCCTTAAAGTCTCATTCAGATTAACCAGTTTCTTTTCATCTTATTCATCTCCTAAATCCTAAACATTTGAAGTGGCCTACTGTCATTGACTAGCAATATTTTGGCTGTTTTTGTACTAGTCAGAGTTTAGTCTGCATCGTTAGAAAACGGTAGACGTCTCTTAACCATCAACCAAAGGTTCATTGTTTGTATTACAGCACCATCCTCCAGTTTCACCTATGTACTTTGATTCTTGCTCAGGTTGTTTTTTCTTTTCCTTTTTACATTTGTATCACATTTTTAAGGTGCAGGATATTTTTTGTTGACATTTTATACAGACCAGTCGTACAGTACAGTTTTATTTGTGGTTTTTTTTTGAGTACATGTTCTCTTTGATGAGACAGATAAAGAAAAATCCATCGCTAAAGAAAAAATCACATTGTTGGAATTATATGATGTGAACAATTTGAAAAAAATGTTCTGTAACTGTTTCCTAAACTCTTTGGTGGTTATTTGTCCAAGTAAAACATTGCCTTATTATTATTTTTTTTTCTAACATGCTTTACAAGAGTCTGTAGTTTGTAATTTCAAAATTCAAAGCAGCCTCGCTTTGGGAAATAAAAGCCATTGGTAATACAAAGAAAATCTGTTTTTGTAGCTCATATTGTGCACTGATAACCAAAATGTTTGCTTATTAAGCTTAATTCAACAAGAACGTCATTCGATTGCATATGATGTTTAATATATATGGACTCTAACGTGTCTTCTATCAGATTGCCACTAGATGGAAGCAGACTGCAACATATATCTGCAATAACTTGCTAAATGAATGGGCCTATATCCCATCAGCTAGGGGATAGAGTTAGTAAGAGTTAACATTGCAAATATATCAGTATGGCTATGGTGGTGTGTGCTCCAGTCGCTCGGGTTGTTGGTGTTCAGACATTATCAGGAACCATTACTGACCTGGTGCAGCGTGCATCTGTGATCTCTAATCTCATCCGAAAATGTTCTATTGCAGAGAGTTATGCATGCCTCTTTTCATTTTTGAGATTACTTTGCATTTATGAAAATCCCCTCCTACTTTGCTTTCCTCTGTGGTGCTGCTTGCCTTTCAACTTCCAAGCAGTACTCGCAGTATGTCATTTTAAAGACCTACAGTGGAATGATAATCCTTTGTTTGGGGTCAAACTGACTGTTATCAAACTAATTCCCTGTGTTGCTGCTCCTGTAGCAGCCCTATTGTGATAATAACATCCAATCCAATCCAATCCAATCATCCAAACACTGCATGACACTGTCCATATCTCCTCCTCATAATATTTATTTAGCAATATTTATTCAGATAAACAGACTCCTCCAAAGGAGCCTCTGCAGATGGATAAATAAAGGCTAAATATGGTATGAAAAGAATAGGAGGGATTTCTAAAACAGAGTTGAGAGAGAGAGAGAGAGAGAGAGAGAGAGAGAGAGAATGGTTTGTATGTAATGTGCTTGTAGTCTGGGTGAAGCACAGGCCAAACTTTGGGACAGTTGCTGCCTGTTCAGGTAAAGTTGGAGATTAGTCAAGTTAACTCAGTGCTGTCGGGATGTCGGTTTAACGCCCGCAACTTCAAGATAAAAGCGGCGGCGTTAGGAGTTTTAATAAAACACTTAATCAGTACATTTCTTAACCAATAAAATAATGCTATGTGTATTTAATAAAGCAGAAGTTCTTAATGTGTTTCTCTTTCTTTGTCTCCGCTCAAGAAATGTCAAACACGGGCGTTAATGTGTGTTTTATTTTGAAAGCGTAGCCGGAAGTCGCATATTCTTCAGTTGGACTAGCTTGTCAGTTGAGTCGCCGCCGGGGGTAGTTGGTTCGGGGCGGGCGGAAGGTGGAGTGTGTGTGGGGCAGTATGAGGGTAACATCATGTAGTTTAACACAGACTGTGTGACTTATTATATTCAGACCTCTCGCTGTTTCTTCTCCTAGTTTTTTTTTTGTTGTTTTTTTTAACCTTTAACTTGTTTTTAACCGCCATGTTCCTGCGCGGATCTAAAAAGCGACGGTCCAACCGCTCGGTAAGTCTCTTCTTTTTCCTTTTTGTTTTCTTTCGTGGCCATACATTTAATTTCTTAATGACTCCCCACCTCTCAGCATACACTCAAAGTCAGCTTTTACTCTTATATTCTTTTAACACCAGTCGTACTCTATCGGGTTAACTTTTGAACGGTTGGTCCTTCCTCTGTTTTCAGTGTAACAGAAGACTTGAAATGAACTAACTTAGTAACACAGAAAAAAAAAACCTGGCTTCGTTTTTTTATTTTATTTTCCTTACACGTACAATACACAATATTAATGTGTTATCTATTACTGTGTAGCAGACACATTCTTTGTTTCTTGAGTCACTTCGGGCCCCAGGTACAGTCAGGAGGGGTCAGACGACGTCATAGGCTTGTACCTGTGCAGGTAGGGATGTGGTAGCTGTAACCTGAACGTGTTTATTACCTTTGTCAGGTTTTCATTAGAACAACAATTGATGCTTTGTTAAATTATGCTCTTTTTTTTTTTTTCTCTTCCCCCTTTCCTTTTTTTTTTTGTTTGGGACTTCTGCCCAAAACACAAGCCTTTATGGTCAGATTACAGAACAAATGAAGCTTGTTTTCGGACCAGACTTTTAACAGCTGTGTGGCCATGAAACATCTGGCTGTGCAGCACACTTGGACTATATCCAGACAGCGACTGTGAATCCATCTACAGTCATACCACCCCGAGTTGTTGTTACGATTCACATTCAGTGTGCAGCAGCCTTTAAAAGCAAGACAGTCTATAATAACTTTTCTGAGCTCACTTTAACTATATTAGGAAGTTTGCATATAAATGTGTTTGTAATTAATATAAATAATGCAGTTTTACATGTAACATATCTTTTGTGCAACGCTTTAACAATATTTAAACACTTGGGACACCTGTTCCACACCTGACACGTACAATAACTACACTCAAGTATTAATGTATATCATTAATATTTTATGCTACACTCCATTACGTCGGCTCTAGAAAAGTGAGTTTTTGAATCGTGTTACAACACAGATGTGTACAAGTGTATTTTAAAACACTTATTTTGTAGTTTTTCCAAACTTAAACTTATTTGTTGACTATCAGAGTGAGAAACAGATCCATTTACGTTCTATGTTATATTATTAGATTAGATATCATCTGATTTCACTTATTATAAAGATTAAACGTGCTTTCGCTAACTGCAACACTACAATTAAGTAATATAATTTAGTGTATTAATGCGACTGGCCATCATTACAGTCATTTGTATCTCAGGGACTGTGTTAAATAATAATACCCCAATTAAATGTAATGTTGTCAGGATCACCTATTATCATTTTTAACTTATTATTCAATGTTAATAGAGTAAAGATGACAAGTCAAGATCATAAACATTGAACAACAAATGCTCCATGTAGCCTTTGCTCTGCCACAAGGCAATTATAAGAAGTATTTCCAGCTTTTTGATTTAGGCCTGCTTTATAAATTAGATTATACATAATGTGATTATAGAAGACTATGTATATGATTCAGTGGCCGAGCCCAGAGCAATATTAGGCTCAATATGAAATGCAAAAATACTGTGATTCAGGTTTATAAGATGGATGTAACGTCTTATCCGATAACAGAAAACTAATATTCAGCCAAACTGTCGCAGAACAAAACTCTGTGCACTCTTTTTGTGTTCGTTTTGTACCCTCGAAGCTGTTGTATGAATACATGTTAGTCAATAGCCGGTGATCTGACCTGTCTACTGTCTCTGGGTGAATATCAAGTTTGGTCTATTTTTTAACACAATAAATGCCTTTTAGATAGTGGCAGGTTGAATATGTAGGACTGGGCAGCACATATCTTGATATGAATAATACATTTGATGATGACTGAATTCAGTTTCAGGTCTTTTTAAACATTTTTTAACTCATCAGTTACATTGTGTCCTACAGTCACAACAGCACTGCCACAGATCAAATGTCAGTCTGACCCTCAGAAACGTGTATTTGGTAAACGCATCCAGTTGTTATAGGTTGCGGTTTGAGTTGACCTCGGCAGCAGGAAGGCAGCGATGCTTAAAACCGTAAGATTAACAAGAAGTGTTTGCCACAGAGCGGGGAGGGCCTGGCGACGGCTGGCCCGCAGGCTGTCTGTTCGATCCAGTCCAGTGAGGAGAGGTGTATCTACTCAGCATGCCGAGGCAGCAAAGGCCCCTGACCCCTGACCCCTTCGGTTAATGTTTAACCCCCTCCTACACCACAACACTGAGGAGAGGAGCCAAAGCTAAATGACAGCCACTGTCTTCTGTCTCATTCATTTCTCTTACTTAGCTTAATAAACTCTTTAAAGTGCTTTCCTCTGGCCTGTGAGAGTGCCACCTATTTAGCATTCAGTGTGCGCCTAATGACAAAATGTAGGTGTATTAATTATCCATCCTCTTACGTTATTGCAAGTAATTGCCGGCTGAGCAATTGCAGTTGCCTTCTGATGTCAGATAACAAAGCTGGCAGGCGTTCAGTTTGTCCATTACCTGGTTACACGGTTACTTGGTAGCAAGAAAAGAGCTCAAGCAAACCAAGGCAGCGCCATGTGATCAAACCTTATACCCACTTAGTGAAAACAAAGAAGCTGATATGAAAAGTCAGACGCCAGTCTAAGTGTGAGCATGTGAGCCGAGGTGAACTTGTGAGTGTGTTATTTACTTTACCCACACTTAGTTTAGAAGAAACTTCCTACCACCACTCCCATCACATCCTTCACTCGCAGCACAATAGGCAAAACCTCATTGTCGAGCCACAAACTCGACGCTTTATCTTTTGTGGAGGACTGAAAGGAAGCACATGAAACCCGCAAGTCTCCGTGCGGCCTTGACATATAGGACACTGTCATCACGATAAGGAAATGTAAAGCTAGCTGGCGACGGCTCATGTTCAAGGTTGTCCTTTCTGTTGTCATCAAAACACAGTCATTAAGGAGTAAATTAAAGGTTCCTGCCTGTTTTCAACAAACAACAGCTGGGAGGACCCAGAAGATGTTGATGTTTTTTATTCCATCTCTAGTTTGATTTTGTGATAACATGCAGTGTTAATTAAAGCCAAGACGACAGGTTTAATTCATCTTTCGATATGTTTACAGCTAAGCCCATCTCCTGGTTATTTTTATTCTTTTAATTACCCTAATTGGAGTGTGACTTTGTCAAACTTGTATTGAATGTTGTGAAAACTCTCTAGGATGTTCTCTTGTTTTTCTGTTAACACATTATGGGGCTAACTATTTCAAGTAAATTTAAGACTTTTCTCAGGATTCCTAATCCGTCATTACTCATTACATCATGATTGTAGTACCCGTGCTTAACTCTTAATTACTATCTGTCCTTAATTCAGTACTATGATGTTTCCCCTCCTTATAACTTTTATATCAAACCGTTTTAGAATTAGTCCAAGTCATTATCTAATGTGGGCAGATGTCCATTACGTCAGCCTGAGGTGTTTCAGACGAGTTGATTGAGTTAAAAATTTAATCTCTGGATTTCCAGAGGCTTTGCAATCTCAGTTTTTCTTTTTTGTGGTAAGATTTTCTTCAGACCTCTGTGAGAGGAAATCTGAATGTACTAGATTACCCTGACTCACAGCAAACTTACATTTATATGTATTACCATTTAAGCAGTTCAAAAATGTGGCAGTGGCCATCTCTCTAAGAGCACCACCACACAGGTTCAGAGGCAGTAAGACATCAGCTGCCTTGGTATCTCTTGAAGTCACAATTTCTTGATCTGTTTTCTGATCATACATGATGTTCGTGCTGATCCCGCCCAATTGTCCAGTCAGGATGAATTGTTAACATTGTGCACTGACAAATGAACTGTACACGTAGTGTTAGACTTCAAAAAGCAGGTCAAACAGTGCTGGAGTGGAGAAAACTGACAATGAAAACATTAAAATATAAAGCGTCCTTTTATTTCTTCACTCTATGAATGGAAAGTCAGTTAACACCCTGTAGTATCCCGAAGAGTAATCACGTCAGGTCGGCTTCAATTTCCAATGGTGGTTTTATCCTGCAGCTATTTATTCTCATTCTGCGTAACCTCAATAAATGTAATATTTATGAGTGCAGCCGTACACTAGTGTTGCACGCACAAGCATTTTGTAGTGTGCGCCTCCCTGGCTCTGTCACAATGACAGCTCAGGAGCTCCTTCCTCCTGAGGAAATAACAACTGAAAGGTCCAGTCACCCAGAAATCATCTGTACGCTTCATTTAGCCCGTCTTGTCACCTTTCATACCTGGCTTTGTTAACGACAATCAAAGTGGCGATTAATAAGGCAGCAGCGGAGGAAGACAGATCCCAGTGACTCCACACACCGTGCAGCATTTAAAAATGGCATGTAAATTATAGCTCACTGTCATGTAGGACTATTCTGGACTAACAAGTTCATGTTCCTACGAAACTGGATACAGTCATCAGTGTAAATAGACCAACATCTCCACCTTGAAATCATGTGCAAAACTACTCAAACTTAAGGTTTTCTAATTTAAAAAAAGCATATAACAAATTATTTCATATTCAAAAGTTGCTAATTGCTCCCAGTTCGTTCAGTCTGTGGTTTCGCACTGCATTAGTGAAGAACTTACAACCCATACAATAATCTACAGCCCTCAGCTATCGGTGAGATAAGCTGAGCAAACTCAGTGTAAATCAATCTAATGCACTGCAGTTCTTGATCTTTCTGCTAAGGAACTCTGCATGGGGGAAACAGGCTTGACGTGAATTTACTGATGGTTAGGTGGTTAGAGCCTCTGTTGAACCCAATGAGGTGTGTGTGGTTGGAAAAAAGAGAGATCAAAACACAGCTGAGCAGGTATGCACAGGTACCTTGCTGTATCACATATCTGCATTTTATTGCTTTGCTTGTTAAACTGTGTTAGCGTCTGCGCATGTCAGCATTATGCATCTGTATGTGCCACTTGTTTATGTGTTTGAGAGGAGCAAATATTGTTTTTTGTGTTCGAAAATACGTTTTAAGTTAAGTTTTGTCTATTTTGAGAATCTCTCCAAAACGGCAGCACGCATGGGGTCGTGCTCTTTTGTTTTTTTTTACAGACAGAAGACCACATGAGGCACATGCTTTGTCTTAGGGAAACAATATAGTCCCAGAATCCCTTTAGAGGGTAAAAAAAGAGCTAAAAGTGTAGACAAATTTTCTCTGTCAACAGTAAATTTCTATCATAGAAGAGACGAGCAGTCCCCTTAAATTAAGGCATCAGAGAAAAAGAAAGTGGAGACAAAGTGACTGCATGGAGAGGGAAAGGGTGCAGCTCTCATCCTGTGTCTGCTTCCTTCCTCTCATCTCTAAAAAGAGGCCTATGTCTGCAGTCTATAGTCCGCACACACACACACACACACACACACACACACACACACACACCCCTCTAGGCTGCAGGAATTGAATCATAAGTGAGATATGAGGTAGCTGGTTTAGTGCTAAGCTGTTCAGTTGCTGTTGGCTAAGTCAGATGCACTGCTCAGCACTTTTTCCAAAAAGCATTTTTGAGATTTTCCTCCCCTCATCATGCGGCGCTGTATATCCCACCACTTACAAAACACGCATCATAGCATTCCTAAAAAACCCATATACTAAGTGTGAGGACTGGTCTCAAGCAGATTTACCTCAGGGCTAACTATGTAAAATTCTGGGTATCACTTTCTGTTTTTTTTGCATCTGCAGGCAGCTCCTGTAGCAGGTTTAACACCCACTGCAAGATTTAGTCTAGTGATTGTACACACTGATCGGAAGCTGCAGTGTTTGGTGTCGAACCAGAATCCAGGAGGGATGACCGTACTGTACGTTCAGCTCTAAGAAAATCATGTTATGTCAAAGCCTGAAAACACATTTGAGCACAGAGGTGAGAGTGAATTTGCATGCTGTCAGTCACAAGCTGTGTCAGATACAACTTATCTATACTGATCTTACTTGTGCCTGTTAGCGTAGCGTGCAGTCATTCTAATGGTTTATATATCTGCCCAGTTCAAGCACACAGGATTTGTTATAAATTGATGTCATTTAGTAATACATGAGAAATATAAACAGCCCATACTCCACCCCAATCGCTGCTGATTTAAAGGCTGAAGCGATTGACTCTAAGTGCATTCTGCTCGTGGCTTAAGTGGAGACACAACTCATTCACTCAGTATGATGTTGATGTTTCTGCGGCCGTGTCTGGCGAACACCGTATGTGCTAACTGTGTTGTTTTAACTTCACTGTCTTGTGCTCAAAACAGTATGACTGGGAAATGATGTGAGCTGAAGTGAGTTTTTGTTGTGTGTTCAGCAGGAGGAAGAGGACCCAGACAGAGGGCAGCCGTGTATGCGCTGTGGGGACCAGTGCCCCGGCTTCCGTGTCCACGGCTGGAGGTATGAACCGTAGGGCTCTTAAACATTAACAGCGCTGCCTGTAACCTTAGCAGGAAATGTTTGTCTCATACTTTATGTTCACCTTTGGTAGAGTTACACTTTTTCCTGCTGCTTGTTGGATCTTGTGCTACTTCTGATAATAACCAGCTACTTCCATTTAAAAGCAAGACTGTTAAACTAAAACTAATGACACCCTCACCATTTTAAGAAAGGAGTTTTTAATTCAGACCTTCTGATTCTTATTTAAAAACAGACGCTTTTGTCTTGAGTTTCATTAATCTTTTACACACAAGCTATGATATATTTTACCAGTGTTTCTAATAACATGAGGCTATTTAACCCGCAGCCAGCAGAGACGTTTCATGTCATTGGCTGACTGTCAGATATAATCTGCAGCTACAGGCAAACCAAAATCTGACTATTCCTGATTTATTTATAGACATAAAGACACTAACATTATCAACTTTATGGGCACGTAAAGCGCAATGCGTAGATGTATATGAATACGATGTGTCGAATGTTTGTGTATTTGCACGTCTTAGAAAGGACACAACATCGGAAATCAGCTTAGTTGTGATTAGTGTACACAATGAGTGCAGATATGCATTAAAAGACAACAAACATGACCCAGCCAGGGCACCACATAGCATTCACAGAGCCGATCATCCTTCCAGACCCTGTGGTCATAAGGAATCAGGACTATAGGCTCATGGCCATTAAGCCTGACATCTGCAACAGAAGCAGCTGCATTTAGTTTTGAGTTGACTTTATCTTCATGTGAAAACAGAGCAGCAGGATTACTGATAGTTATCCTGTAGCATGTGCTGTATGTCTGACCTCCAGTGACTTAAACGTAAGACCTGTTCATATGTCGCTGTAGTATCCGTCATGAGTTGTACTGAAAGCAGGGCTCACCAGGAGGCTTTTAAGGTGAAAAGCACTGTGATGTTTTAATACAACAGATAATTTCCTTTTGCGCCGATCATCTGAGGGATCATCTGGAACTAGTTTTTATGGACACAAGGCGAGCTTGTCTCAGCAGAGTGTTTTTGTTACATGTCCTTTTTGTGTTTTTAAGTGTTGAGAGAGTTTGTTTCTGCAGCAAAGGAACTCTCAAGTCTTGTAATTCCTCCTTTTTAAATTTAAGCACAAGCCACTTGTAATGTCCGCCTACATACCTCTTACACTTGTTTGTTCAGCAGTCGTTAACCACTGTACGTCCTGAACAACAATTTATTTTATTCTGTTAAGCAGGTTCTTGCATGCTTTCATTTGAGCCCCCTTTCCTTTCCTTTTTCTTCTTTAGTTCTTTAGTGAATATCCAGCTGGTTGGGTCTCTTGGTTAGTCTAATCCTGTCAGTCACGCTAATAAGATTAGGCCTTACTGCTGTGATAGTAACCCTCTAGACCACTTCATACCTCCCTCCCTCCCTCCCTCCCTACCTCTATCTTACCCACTGTCTCCCCCTTTTCTAAATTTCACTTTTTCCTTTTCAAATATAACAATTTTATTTCATTAAGTGTTTAAACGTAAGTATAAAGTTACTATTTCTTAATTAATTCGTATTTTTAAGCACATAGAAGAAGCAAAGAGTCAGTCGCTTGGAAGGAAGCTGTATGATTCAGATTATACATTTCATCTTTCCAAGTGCATTGTGTCGCCTTAAGTGGATCCAGACTCTAAGGCCGTAGAGAACAATCACCGAGTTCGACACACAGCTAGATGAATGAAATAAAAGACAAAGATTTATTTCAGGTTACGAAGGCTTCATTCACAATCCCAGATGGGCACTGCATGGTTGAGGCTCGGTGATGGAGAGAATAAAACAAAAGGAACAGGAATGCGTACTGCATGTAACCAAAAGACTGTAATTGTATCTTTTAGCTTTTTTCAGTTCTGTTCTCTCTATTCAGTTCAAGACAAAAGCTTAGAAGTTACGATGTAATCTAAAACACGTGTGCTGCTCTCTACCTCCGGCCACACTGCGGTGTAAGTCTAGCCCCTGTACACATTGATCTGTTTACAGTTTGTTTAATCTGTGCAGAATTAACATAATGTTGTGGTTTATGGAAGACTTTCAATTATTCATTTGGCTGGAGGAGAGATCTGAAATGACTTTTTGGGTGAGGTTACAAAGAGAAATGTCTTGTTTAGACGTTTGAAGTCTCTTAGCCGATCCAGGAGAATGAGGAACATGAAAGTGATTCAATGATTGAGATTTATGGGGGTCAGTTTTTAAAACCCCAGAGTCTGTCGCTAATTGCATCTTCCTTAACAACCAATTTAAAGTCACACCTTCCCCGATGGAGAAGATCATCCAAGTGACCACAGGCTTAGCTGCTGATGCTCGCTGAGAGGGAAGTGATCCATCTTCATACTGAGCTTTCTCAGACAGAGCTTAAACTGAGGCGGGGGGCAGATGGCGCTTCCGCTCCCCAGCAGCGAGCGAATTGAGTTACTTTTGACCTACAGGTCCCCGCCACGCTTCAAAAGTGTTCAAAGTCGCCATCGCTATTAGTCTGGGTGGCCATGCGGCAATTACTCAGTCACTAATTAGTGGCAGAGAGATGTAGGACAAGGCCCATCTGTTTCTTAAAATCAGATCTAAGGAGGGCTTCACTATACCCCACTGCAGTATGTCTCACTTATAGATTATCACACCAGCAGCAAACATTTAAAGCAGAGGGTTATTTTATGGCTGCTACACTGGATTTCACCCGAATGTTTTATAACGGTGTATTGCCCTATAATATGTTTGTATACCCACAAACAGTTGATCTAAATTCACTTTTTGGGCGTTAGCTGTCAACTGTCATTAGCCACAAAACTACATTATGGTAGAGCTGCAAGTTAACTAACCATTATTTTCATTATTGATCATTTTCTTCATTAAAATGTGAAAGAGAATAGTAAAACACGTTCAAATTGCTTCTTTTATCCGACCAACAGCCAAAATGAAAAGATATTCAGTTTACTATCATACAGGACGAAGAAAAGACATTTTAGAAGCTGGCACTAGAGCTTAAAAATCTGAAAAGATATACTTTCAGATTCAAATTTTGTCTAATGAACGACACTCTGATGCAGCTCTACATCACGGCTGTCACAACTAAGCCTCATTGCTGACTCTGGAGTTGTTCAGTTGTTACTTTCATCATTTTGTGTGCGTGAAGCAATGTTGAAAAAACAGAAATATTGATAGAAGAAAGATAAGTGAATAATACTGGGTCTTCTCTAACAGATGTCTCATGACTGATATTCATCCTCAGTGATTGACTGGAGTCAGATGAGCCGGTATAAATTCAGAAATATGTCGTGACTTCACTGAGACTTAAAAGTCACGCTGTCTTTTTGACATTTCATCAGAGACACTTTGTTGTCACGCATGTCCATCTTGATCGCATAATAATATGACAAATACTGCACAGCACAGCATTGCTCATAGGCTCAAAATCTGCTCCGCTCACTTCTATGATTAATAACTGCATCAGAGCAACAATCGTCCATCTGTTATGAATCAGTTGCAGCAGTCTGTTCAGAGGATAGACACAGTGAGTTCACTCTTCATGATTGTCACTTGGACTCTGATGTTTCGTATCTTCAAAGGCAGCGTGAGTAGATTGTCGGGCTCAATTGAAAGGTGTAAGAGAAAGGTACGCTGCGTGTGTACTTTATCTTATCTTTATAAGTAAATTTTTAAAAAATCACATGAGCATGTGTGTACTATAAGAACTCTTGTATGTATTTTCTCCAGTGTGTGGTTGTGTTCAAGCCTTTTGTTTGAGCCTGCTGTCAGCACGGAGGAGGGTGGGAGTCGGGGGGCGGCGGGGACATTGAAAAGAGCCCGAACGGACAGAGAAATTGCCACATGGAAAGGAGCTGCCGTAGAATATCACTGCTCTCGCTGACAGACAGGCTGACAGGCTTGCAGTAGTCAGCGCCTTATCGGATGCAAACTTTAAAAGTTTTCGGCGGATCACAAGTCTGGATGGGACAGCGTCAACAAGCCAACCTGGACTAATTTGTCATGATTACAGCAGGTACTGAAGAAACCATATTTTACCGACTAACAGGATTAGAGGGACTAGAAACTCAAACAGTCATTAAGTTGGGTAATGTGGGTAGAATGAAGGGTTTGTGTGTGTGTGTGTGTGTTTAGAAGATGATTCTTCTTGTGTTTCATAGCCTGACTTCATTTTGTTTTGTACACACATCTGTGGGGATTTAAGGTGTAGAACATGACGTCAGGTACAGTTAGTGTTGTTACTCACCTCCCCTGTGCACACTTGACTGCCTATAGTGTATCTTAACAAGATAGGGACTATAGGGTATCTTCATGGAGATGTCATGTTATTTAAAGATGTAGAAAAGACTAATGTATAACTGGTCACACGGTGAGTTTGGGATCCAGCGTAGGGGTTAACAAGCTTAATCTGTGTTCAACGAAATTCAAATGATTTAAAATCCCCTCAGCCAAAGCTAATTAATTAAGGTTGTTGGGAGTCCAAAAGTTCAAATTGAGTTTATTTCAGCTCCATATAGAGTCGATATTTAGTTTTCTATTTACTTTGTCCATCTAATAGCAATGTGTCAGCACGACTCCATTATCTAGAGTTAATTTCACTATTATGTAGTTCTGATTGTTTAGTTTATAATCTGTGAGTGGATTATCTATAGCCGATAAACACAAACAATAGATACATCATTAACAATAATAACAGCACCAGCTGTACCAGCAACAACGTTTGGGTCCAGCAAATCACATTTAGAGACAGATTGTTGATTCCTGTCCAAAGCAGCATCTGCTGTATCTCCTGGTTATTAACACACAAGGCTGGTTGTGGATTATAAATCCCTTTTTATATATTTTAACAGTTTGGATATACACAGATTTTGTACAATCAAATTTGGGGAACTAAAGTTGGCGTCTTTCTTTTATGGTGATGTTATCATATGACTTGTTTTGTCCGACCAACAGTCCATGACCCAAAGATATTCAATTGGCAGTGATATAAAACAGCAAATGAAGAGGTGGAATGAGGGATGTTCTGTTTAAAAATGACAATCAATTATAAATATAGTTGCAGATTTCTGTCAATCAACTAATCGATTAATCATTTCAGCTCTGATTTTGACAGCATTTTTCTTTTTGACCTGTCAGGAACAAATGTGGTATGTAGCCAAAGGGGACATAGCCGAGTTGTATTACATCAGAGGCTTGTGACTCAAGTAATTGAACAGGACCGGGCTCAGCACAGCAGAGGCTGGTAAATTGCAGTGTTGAAACACCCCTCAGAAATGTGCTGCTTTTAAGTTTACTGAAGTCATGATTAAACAACCACTTGTGTAACAAAAGAGAAATAAAACAGGTTACAATACACTGTACTTTAGCGATGGCTGATTTGCTCATTTATAGGTTCCACATTTTGTCGTTTGTATATGTAGTAAGCCCCCATGGTTTGGTTTATTTTTATAGAAGAGGTGTATTTAAATGTTTTGGCATGTGTATAAACCAGCCTTTGGTCAAATTCTGCCCTAATGGCAAGATATCCTGCACAAAGAGAGACATGATTTGAGACTCTCCTGCATACTTTCAAACCCCAAATTCATTCAAATTGGCACTTTGTCATCCTCCAATTACTGAAGGTTGCATGTGAGGGTTGGCACCCGCTGGTGATTATATCCCTGTTACAAATACTTTCATCTTGTGGAGACTGGTGGTGGTGGTAGGTGGGTGTGGAGGGGGAGGGTTGGGTACTGGTGGGGTGAGACGTGGTGCATCTGCCATCTGTCCCATCATGCCAGGTCTCCGGCTGTGTCCTCTTCCCCACTTACATAGGCATGTGCGCTGCAATCCCTCCCCCCTTCCTCCTCCCCCTTTCACTAACACAGACACACACACATGTGAAGGAACACACACACACACATAAATACAGCTGGGGTCAGATTTGTGCCAACATGGCTTAGGCTAAGCTGACTTGCTCTGTTTACTATTATTTATATTGGTTCTACCTGCTTGGCGACACCGGCCATATAAAGTATCAGCTGCATATTGTAAGTTATGTACTGGTCTGGGCCTGAGAAAAGATACTGGGATCCCGTAGTAGCATTTATTTTCTCTGTTTTGTCAACTCCTTAACAATTAACTTGTTTCGGGTAAAGAGAGTGGAGCACATTCAATCTGACATGCAGAAATTACCGTCATTTGCTCACAGAGTTTTTACAAGACAGTTGATTAAAGGAGGAGTTCTCATGCAGTGTACAAGCAGTTGTGTGCTAGCTTTTTTTTTTTTTTTTTTGTTGTGTGGGGGTTGGGTGCTGGAATAAAGCAGCTTTGTGCCTTGTGAACTTGAGCCACAAGTGCCAGCTGGCAGTCTGTTATGCAATCGTAACAGAGATGTACCCATGCAATACATGCTGCATATGGCCACATTGTCGCATCCACACACACACATATGTGACACCCACACCTCACTTTCACCCCGGGGCGCTTTAGTCTGACTCCACCGGTCCCACACACACAGAGGCACACCCACCGCCAGATTGAATGTGGTTAGGACTCCGAGCACAAGATGGGGTGTAATACGAGGCTGAGGGAGATTATTGCTCCCATCTTCACTTCCCTCTCTTAACTGCCCCGGGATTGACAGCCAGGCTTATGTCACTGACCTCATTTTCCTGCTTGATTGGTAGTAGCTTGTTTGGGATGTGCTGGTCTTGATGCAGATCTGGTGAGATGTCGGTGTAATGTGGGCATTAACTGGATTGTCCGATCCTCAATAACATCTGTGTCAAAGAGTTCACTTAGCTTGTACAAATGCATCAACACAACACTCTACACAAAGACTATACACAGTTTATGTGAAGTTTTTAATTATCTGGATATTGTCTTTTTGTGTCCCAGTGTGAGAACTGTTGTATTAGTAATTTTTGGCTGCAAGGAGTTTAATTGAGTCAACGTGAAGAATGTGTGTGGGCTGGTTTGTGACATAATATCTCCAACGCAAAGTGTGTTCGTACATAGTATGGTTACAAACTGTAGGAGTGCCCGTACTGTATGAATGTGGTGTAACAACCTGTTAGCAATTACATTTCATTATTTAATATTTTAATATATTTTCTTTGTCAGATGATAACAGAAAAGAGGGACTGCTATACATCTGAAATCAGGTTCAGATTTAAACACTGTGGTTTGCACCTGAAGCTCTAGGAGAACCCATCCATCTGTGATGTTTCTTTGACATTTGATCTGCTTTAGCTTGTGTTGTAAATCAGTAAAAAAAGAAAAAAGTCCCAAGGGATGAAGCCCAAAGCTGTCCTCTTCTCCACAGGAAGATCTGTGTACACTGCAAGTGTGTGCGAGAGGAGCATGCTGTACGCTCAGTGCCGGGCCAGCTGGAAAAGATGATGACGAAGCTGGTATCAGACTTCCAGAGACACTCCATCTCCGACGACGACTCAGGCTGCGCCTCCGAGGAGTACTCATGGGTCCCACCTGGGCTCAAGCCCGAACAGGTAACAGCGAGGGTGCAGAGCCAAACGCACGTACGAGACAAGAATTAATGCCACAAGAGCGCGCACAAAGCACGCTTCCACTTGGACATGTTCATACATACACTTAAAGAACTTTATAACCATGGGAAAAAAAATATTCAGTGTCTCTGATTTATGACTGCAATTGAATAAATTGCTCTGTAATTGAATAAAGTGTTACCTGCATTCTATCATTTAGACCTTAATGTGAATACACTTGTCTCCTCATACAGGTATATCAGTATTTTAGCTGCCTGCCAGAGGACAGGGTGCCTTACGTGAACAGTCCAGGGGAGAGATACCGAATCAAACAACTGCTGCACCAGCTTCCAGCCCACGACAGTGAGGTAACACCACTGGTGTATTGTAATAGAGTGGTGACATGCCAAACACGTACAATCCTTCAGTCTAGTAGGTTTGCTAAATCACAATACAATAATACCTTGTTGTTATTATTGATTCTGAGCTTGCTTTCAACCACCACATCCCACCCCATACACTGTATTATGTATAAGGCTCTTAATGCCAAAAGAAAATTTAATTTATAATAATATTTATTTTGAAGTTTCATTTCATTTTTACTTTGAGCAGTTTGAACAACTTGAACAGCAACTCAGATCAGTTTTGCTTCTGTATTCCCTCAGTTTATACAGAACTTTGTATATTCTGTTTTAAGGCTCGATTTGGTTGAACTAATTAACCATTACACATGAAATCCATGAAATCCTTTGCATTATTCAAATAGCCATTTCTTAACTTAAAATCCAGTTGCTCTTGCTTCTTATGTTCACTTTTATAATTATGAATTAATGTCATGACTGTATTTCTGTGTATGTTTCTAATGTACCACCCAATAGCCAGTAAAATACATAAACTTTGTCAGGAACCTCTTGAAAGTTAGATGATGAGTTAGATCAAGAGCCGTATCCTATAAACAATACATTTGAGTTACAGAACAGGATTAATGATTAACAGGACCACAACAGACAGATTTAATACATTATATTGAACTTAAAAGGTAAATGAGGTTTATAAATTTGTATGCACATGTCAACCAGAATATCTGTGTGTTTCTTGCAGCCCCAGTACTGTAACTCTCTGGACGAGGAGGAGAAGAAGGAGCTGCGTTTGTTCAGTCAGCAGAGGAAAAGAGAAAACTTGGGCAGAGGCGTCGTCAGACTCTTTCCAGTGACTATGACGGGTGCAATCTGCCAGCAGGTAAAGCAGCAGTTTAATTCCATGTTTAGAAAACTTTCCCTCATAAAACGGGCCAATATAAAGCTCGAAACAAGTGAAAGCCTATTAAAAATACATGAGAGCAGAAGAAGTTCTTCTTATAAGATTAGAGCAAGTTCAGGTGCAAGTAGGTGCAGGTAGGTGCAGGTATAGCTCAGGGGCCACAGCCCACTGGGATTTAATGATTACAGAGCTGTATGAGCAAATTGCTGTGTTACCTGCAGCGTTCACCATTTGTTAAAAGATATACTGTCTAACTTCCTTCCCTCTGAACCACACCCCCACCCCAAACAAATTTATTTTTCCAGTGTGGCAGACAGATCTGCGGTGGAGACATAGCGGTGTTCGCCAGTCGGGCAGGACACGGCAGCTGTTGGCACCCTCAGTGTTTCCAGTGTGCTTCCTGCACCGAGCTGCTGGTCGATCTCATATACTTCTACCAGGACGGACAGATCTACTGTGGCCGGCACCACGCTGAGAGACTCAAGCCCCGCTGTCAGGCCTGCGATGAGGTGACTGTCTCATCAACATCCCTGACTACTCAAATAAACTCCCAGTAGCAGAGTTTTGTAGCAGATCTCTGAAAGCAAAGTGTAGTGGGAGTAAGAAAGCAAGAACTGAGTTTCCCACTGTTCTTAAAGGCAACTTTACTTTACTATCTCTCTCTCTCTTTGTTCTCTCTCTCTCTCTCTCTCTCTCTCTCTCTCTCTCTCTCTCTCTCTCTCCTGTGAACTGTCCACTTTTTCCCAACATTTGAGATGAAAATATCTTCAAAAACGGTTGCGAGTGAGTGGTGTAATATGTTAGAGTTTTTGTTCCAAAGGTAACCTGTGTAGAAAATCCTTTTTTAATGTTTCCCCAAATGAATCATTAGGCCCTGTCAGGTGTTTGACTATTGCTGTATTTAATCATTTCCTTTATCAGTGCAGAGTACATAGAGGGGTGTTTGCAGATTTTTCTGTCGGTCTCTTCTGTTTTTTGAATGGCTTCTCAGTGTGACTTAAGAGATTAGTTGACGTAGTTGACTAATGGATCTGGCACGACTGACCTACAAGAGTTCTTTAGACCCAGAAGACAGATAGCTAAGCCTGCGATGGGGCATATATAGCATTGTTTTTTGTTTTTCTCTTATTAACCAAAATCCTCAATATTCGTTTCTTACGACTGTGATTAGTTTACTTCTGTTCCCACGAGATCACCACTGCTGTGCTGAGTGACTTCTCTGTAACTCTTTTACTGTTGTTTCTCAATCCCAGATTATTCTAGCAGATGAATGTACGGAGGCAGAAGGAAGATACTGGCACATGAAGCACTTCTGTTGTTTTGAGTGTGAGGCTGCGCTCGGTGGTCAGCGTTACATCATGAGAGAGAGTCGACCGTACTGCTGCTCCTGCTACGAGTCCCTGTACGCAGAGTACTGCGATACCTGCGGAGAACACATAGGTACTGACTTAAGTCCAAAGAAAGTCATTTATTGGGGTTTCTATGCAGCTAACAGCCATTAAATTATATTTAGCATATATAAGCAGTAGCATTTGTCTGCAGTTATAACTTCTTTTATGAATACATATTTTGTATTATTACAACTGTGTTTTACTATATTATTATTCATTGTAAATTTATACACCAGCCTTTGGGTGCCCACAGGAGGAATTATAGTTGTTGACAAATACACAAACATTAACATCTGCTTACAACTAATACTTAATTTTAATCAGTAGTAACTGGTAAATGTAAATAAAGCCCATTTCAGACATACAGCTCATTATGTAAATGAGATGGCAATTTAACATGTTGGACTAATGTCTGATTAAGCGCCTGAGTCACTTTTACATAAAAAATCATGACAGTAATCTTAATATGTTGGACTTTCCTGTAACATCTCTGGAAAACTTCTGCATGCTGTCAGTTTAATGTGAAGGCCACAGCAGCCCAAGGTTAAACATGTACAGAGAAAAATTAAATGCATTTCTTGTTCGCTTTATTAAGAGCATTGCGTGAATGTATCTCTTCATTCTCATATCTTTTGCATAAAGAAAATAAAAGCAGTTTAATAACCAGGAACACTGCAAACAAGCTACTTTTAAGTTGATTCATGTCAGGTCAGTCTATGAAAATGACTTTTTCCCCTTGCGGTTCCAGGCAAAAGAGGTTTAAAAAAAGCCTGCATACAACCACAATAACATTCGGACCAGCTGTCTGCCTCCTAGTTTCTTTCATCCCAGCTGCATGGGTGAAATTACGAATATATCCCAACAAAACGTAACACCTTGTTTTACAGACAGAGTCATTTCTCTAAGAAATGGTGGAAGTGGATGAAAACATTAATTTGTTATTCCCTATGAGAAGCAAGCAACACGAAGTATTCCATGTCTGAAAAGGGCTTAAATGTCACAGATAAATGCTATATTTTCTCCAAGTAACAAAGTTCTTATAGGTAGCTGTAAGTATGATGTGTCACTTGTGTGTTAATATTTAAATACACTAGTATGAAGTCACAGTTTTGTGTCATAAAAGTACAATTAGTTCAAATTCGTCTGAGCCAGTCAAAACTGCAGGACTCCTGATATGTATACATACTGTAGACTCACACTGAGATGATAAAGATTGAATTCTGCAGTTTACACAAATGTCCTGTGTAATCATGAGATAATTTCCTCTCAGGTATCGACCAGGGCCAGATGACATATGAGGGTCAGCACTGGCACGCCGTGGAGTCGTGTTTCTGCTGCGCCCGCTGTCAACTACCTCTGCTGGGACGTCCCTTCCTCCCTCGAGCGGGGCTCATCTTCTGCTCCAGGCCCTGTTCGCTGGGCGAGGACCCCGATAACTCGGACTCCTGTGACTCGGCGCTGCAGAGCAGACCGCCTCAGCATAGACGCTCTGGGACAGCAGAGAAACACCAGCAGCCACAGTGCGGTTCTCCACTGCAACCACTAGAGGGCATCAGACCCCCTATAACTCCTGCAAAAGACTGCATTCATACTGCGGTGGAAAACAGAGGTGATCCTAGTACATTGGTGTTATGTAGGTCACATTGCCAATGATAACTCCGTGAGTTAGAACCTCTTTAGACTATTCTCACACATTTATGTGCTCTGCTTCTCTCAGGTGTCCACTGCACTGCTCCAGTTCAAAACGGTGGTCTTTCACCCAGTGGTCATCCTCATCCAAGAGGATCCTACTCCCCTCTTCCCCACATTCATCTAGGAAATGGTTTAGGTCCGTCTTGGCCCAGCGATCTTCCACATTACAGTTTACTGCCAGGGGACTGTGGTCTCAAACCTCCTGTCAGTGGTCTAAATGGCAGTACTGGACTAACTGGTCTTAATTCAAGAGGAACCTCTACTGCTAAAGACTGTAGGAACTGGGTGGAAAGGACGAATCAAGTTATGCAAGGTATGAGAAACAAGTGCTTAATACAGAACAATGTGCTGTCAGTGTTATGTAATCTCACCTCGCTGTCTTACCTACCCTGATTTTCTCTCCGTAGTGTTTCCTCCTCAGAAAAACTCACATGTGAACCAACTAATTTCACCCGACTCGCCTCCCATCCCGCCCGACCACCCGTCCGTCCTCCCACCGCCTCTGCCCATCAAGTCTCGTGACTTGTTGCCCCGGGAATCACCCCCGCCGAACCTCCCCCCACCTGAGGACAGACCCTCTGATTCTCCGCCCCCGCTGTCTCGCAGTGGCACAGCGAGGGTCAGCTTCAGAGAACCAATCAGCAGCAGCTACTCTGTTGAAGAGGATGAGGATGAAGATGAGAATGAGGAGGAGCTGCAAGAGGGCGAGGAAAACCAGCAGGACGAAGATGAGGTGGAGGGAGGTTTCGGAAGCAGGTTACATCTACAGAAAGGCATCCCGCCGCAGATGGATCTGCTGGGTAAGAAAAGGCTTTGAGAGAGTTGAATATGAACTCACATGAAAATTTGTGAATCTTGTTAATTTTGTTTTCTGTCACAATTTCATTTTTCCAACCAGATGGATCCTCTTACCACCAGCGGAGTCTGCGGCGAGGGTGGAGCCGCTGCCGTATCCCCTCTGACCCTGCTCTACACCCGGGAGCAGAGAGGCGCACCCGACGCTCGCGGCCCGACCGGCCTCGGCTGGACACCCTGGACTGGAGAGGCGACAAGGACAGGGACAAGCGGGGCTCACTGACCCTCCAGCCGGGCCAATACAAACATGAAGACTGCTCTACATGCTCTTCATCCTCAGACTCAGAGGAAGAGGGTTTCTTCCTGGGACAGCCCATACCTCTGCCCCCGCAACTCCGTAAGCAGCAACCCGAGGACAGCAAAGACAGAGAGGGAGAGGAGGAGAAGGAGGTGCAGAGAGACAAGGGACTGAGAGGCAGCATACGGCGGAGAAGAGCTCACAGTCTTGGTGCAAAGGACAAAGATAAAAACTGTGCTATCTCCTAACCCCTAACTGCTAGAAACATCACAATACAGCACGTTGTTTTCACAATTGTGGTGCACAAGAAGAACTAATGGCCCTTCATTACTCTGGTGTTCAAGCTGTTTCATGATGGTGACGTAGTGTTAAATCCAACAGACGTTTCCAAAAGTGAACCACAGCCATCGTTCCTGACACACTACTTAGCAAAGGGAAGCACAATAAACCTCAAAGTTTTATGGTATTGACTTCTCATTGTTGGACTTTGAGATGTTACAGTGTAGAAAATGATGTATGAGTCACGTGAGTAGTGAAGAATGTGGAGTGATTATTGGTAAGTTTGGATTATATTTCGACATACAAGAGACTGTGTGAGAGAGTGCTGTGTTCCAGTTAGTTAGAACAGCCCCTGAAGTGAAATGTTACTGCTTTTTAACATCACCATCATTTACATATGCAAACCTCCAGTAGCACGTATGACCAGGAACTGACCGCACACTGCGCCATCATCAGTGGTTTGTGAAAAGGAATTTTAAATATGTTATTGTTTAACTCTACTGTAACCATTTTTATGTGCTCTTATGTGCAATTTTTATATGGCTGTAATATATTACAGTTGTACTAAATACTAAATGGCCAAATTTTAGAGATCTGTGGTGGTTTTATGCTTTGAAAATCAAAAGGATCGTCAAGGTATCACAGGAGGTTAAGTTTGTCGTGTGTGTTGTATGGTCCAAATGAAATAATGTAAAGTTTGTATGACGTACATTCATGTTTTTAATCAAAATAACACTTTAAGGTCATTTATTTTTATATACTTGGTGTAGGTCGCTGTTCTTTCTTGTTCTATTGCTGGTAAAAGGAAGAGATTATGACAGTTTCTGTTTCTCTTGATTGTGAGACAATTTTATGGTGATATTAAATTTGTCTAAATTGTTATTGTGCACTTTATTCCACACACACAGACCTTTGAACCGTTCAAAGTATGTCAGATAGTGTTGATGAATTGTGATACCAGAGCGCAACACAAAGTGCTTATCATCCTGCTGGCAACATAAAACAATGGCAGAGTCAGGTGACTAAAAAGAAGTCAGCTTATATCCTTGTAGGAGAGTTATTGGACCAATCAGCATGAGGCGGGGGCGGGCTCAGCAGAGCACACATGAGTTGTCAAACAGGTTTGTCTTGAGCTGCTAAGTACTTTCAAACATTCTCCTGGAGGAACAGGACAGCACTGTGTTCACTGGGCTAAAACCACAAACCCAGGAGAGTCTCAGGAGACCCAACAGGGACCGACAAGGTGAGTTTTCTGTAGAAATGGCAGAAAAAGAAACTTTCTAACAACCTACACCTCCATACAGGCAGACCTTGAGCTTGTCAGGGCAAGACTAGAATGTAGGCCTTGAGTACATGTGGGGACATTTTATGTGTTGTTTACCTGGCCTTTTGTGTTTCTGTTTCATTTGTCTTCGGCTTCCTGCTTCGCTCAATGGTTGTCATTTACTCTCAATAGCAGAACATGCCAGCACTTGACTCAGAAACACTAAATTAGTAGCTCTATTTTTGTTTGTCTGACCCACCTCTTGACATTCCTCTTTGGTTTGTAATGACACCAGCCTGATACCTTAATGATATGTGTCACAGTGCTGGCTGTCTCTCCTGGTAAAGGGAGATCCCGTTGTTTTGTTGGAGAGGGGGTAGATATCTGTAAGGTAAGAAATGGAGGTACTGAAACGTTTGTATGGAGCTCTATCAGCAGGAGTTTGGCTCGGCTCAGACTGGAATGGCAAATATGTAGAGAATGTGACTGGCAGATGCAGATTGTTCAAGCGGCACATTTCAAACACACATAGTATCTTTAAGTATATACAGCAGTGCAGGAAGAGAGCCTGTGTTCATCAAGCTCACTATTATGACCTTCATCCCAATTAGAGGTTTATAGATGTGCACAAAGAGGGATGGGTCAACAGATGCTGAGTTGCACCCCTTTGTTATGACTTTTCTTAACCTACAGAGGTTTGTAGTTCAGGAAGAAGTCCGTTACAAACCCTGGCAACTGACTGCTTTATTTAAAGATGAGGAGTCATTGTTCCCATAGCAGCTGTTGGTGTGTGTGTGATCTGCTCTGTATTGCCTCCAGACAATAGCTTGTTGACAGCTGTTCTGATGCACCTCCCCATCACCCCTCTCATACACACACACACACACTTCTGCCACTCTTTTCACAGGCCTTCTACTGACTGAAAATGAAGTGTCAGTTTTATTGTGTGTTTGTCTGCGGAGAGATGGATGACTGCAAGTTATTGTTCAAATCTGTCTGTGCTGGCAGCCAATGAACTTGCAAATAGGGAAGGCTTCAGGAGGCTGATTGGCTGCAGCTGTATAGAAAGGGGTGGGGTTTATGGGTGTAGTGACTTTGTGGAGTTGGCTGTGTCCTGTCTGTGTTAGAAGAGTCTGAAACAGGGATGCTTGCTTGTCGTATGAGGTAAATGTCTTCGTCGACTGTTTATTTCAGGTCTTTATTGAGCTGTCTTTCCTTCATATACTCTCCTGACTGATGTGTCTCCTTTCCACAGGATGTCAAGGGTCCAACTGTGATGCTGACGTTACATCTCTTCAAAAAAGGAGTGGAGCTCATCATGAGACAGCTATATAGACGCACAAATACAGAATAACTTCTGCAGAGATATTTAATTCAAATCAGCCAAGGAGGAAGCTTTAAACTGAAAGTGCACAGGGACAGGTACTTCTAGTTTTACAAAATGCCTTTGGAGACTCTCCAGCGCCCGGTTAGAAAACCGGAGAGGACTGCTGTAGCTGCTACACCACCACGCTTGCGGCCCCAGGGGCCAGTGGGGCCAGACTTCTACCGGCAGTTCCCGACAGCAGCAGGCAGACCAAAGCAGAGCGCGGTGGAGAGGCTAGAAGCGGACAAGGCTAAATATGTCAAGAGTCGGGTGGCTCTTTCTAAACAGCAGCCGGTCAGGGCTCCTGATGTGCGGAAGCCTCTGCTAAACCCCAGCACCGCTCTGCGACCCACCAGGAAGACACCGACCCCAATGAAAACAAAGAAGGAGGGAGTCCAGCTCGACTTGGAGCATCTGAGTAACCTGATCAGTGGTGTGAATGATGGGCCTCAGTCCAGTGTTACTGTAAACTCAGAGGACAGTAAAGCTCCTACCACCCCTTCACACAGCTCTCTTTGCCCCACACCTGCAGGGGCACAGCAGAAAAAGGAGAGACCGTGTCCACCTCCCCGTCACGACTGGTCCAGTCCTGCTAAAGTGAGATTAAAAGCCTCTGGACCTGCCAGGGTAGAGAGTCCCAGCTCTCCTGGGTCTCCAGCTGCAGGGACTGTACGCAGGGTGGATGTCATGCCTCAGGCCAGCCCTGTGAGGACACCCTGCAGACCACCTCAGTACATCCGGCAGCCCCTCCAGCCCATACCTTTACATTCCAAGTTTCCACTCCGCCCGGCTACTTCACACCTGCGTCTCTTTCACCTCAGAACAACAGCAGGTCCTTCTCCTCTGAAACCTGTTGTTGCTCCATCAAAACCTGACGACCCTCCCTCTTCTCCAGGTGGAACCCCTGTCCCTGCTACACCTCCCCCCAGCCTCCCTCTTCTCCCTCCTCCCTCCCCGGCAATTACTCGTTTGTCCTCTTCGAGCTCCAGGAAGCGCCCCTCTCTTACCCGGTCTAAATCAGACATGAGTGACCGGTGCTCCAGAGCCGGCACAGAGCTGGAGCGCTTCTTCAACCTGTGTGGTCTGGACCCTGCAGACCTGCAGGAGTGGGCTGGATCTAGTTCTGACATTGTGTCCATGGCTCGCTTCCGCAGTGTGAGCGCTCCAGGGTCTGAGTGTGCAGGCTCGGGCAGAGAGGATGAAGGTGAGGAGGAGGAGGAAGCGACCAATGCTGCAGGGCGTGTTCCCTACGGTGTTTCTGTTATTGAGAGAAATGCAAGAGTGATCAAATGGCTGTATGGACTCCGTCATGACAAAGACAATACAAGTAAAAGCACCAATTTATAGGATGGTGTTAAATGGTCTAAAATAAGCTTTAAAACAAAAGTAAATTTCAGTGTGTCTGCAAAACACATTAAGTGATGAGATCCTGTGATTAAACTGGTAGCAAACTGATGTGATGATATAATGATGGATGCAATTTGCCAAGTAATTTACTTCCCTTGTTGTTTGTTTTGATCAGGTTTTTTGTTGTTTTTTATTTCATTTTTTATCTTACAAAATTTGAGATTTGATGAAATGTGTTATTGAAGAACAGAAACACTTATTAATTTGAGAAATTCTCAATATTTTTTGTTATTTTGACTTTTCAAACGTGTTTTTGTGCGTGTGTGTCACATTGGAGATGTCGTGGTGTCATCTCTGGCTGTAAATGTGCGGCATTAAAGATTGAATGATGCAAGCATCTTGTTTGTTACTGATTTATTTTACAGAACCACAACAGTGGTCAAACGTACATAATGTTAGTCCATATCAATGTATGTAATGTATGCAATTGCTTTGAAACAGCTCTTCATTTGAAGAAGGTGCTGATTATGAAATTGTCAGAAAGAGGAAGAACGGGACCGACAGGCGTCATTTAATGGAGGAAATGTTCACTGCTGTTCCACAAGAGGTCAGAGCAGTCCATACTGACACATACTATTGCTCTGTGCAGGAATATCTCTGATTTCTTACTGATCTATGAAAACCGTGGCCTTTTTTTAGATGAACTGAGAAAATACTAACAGTATTTTTTTTTTATTTAAAATGGCTCTTGTTTTATTTTGCACTCTTTAATTCTGCATTAGGAGGTGCTGGAACTGGGGTCAGACATGGGACAAAAAAGTAAAAATATACTTGAATTTAAACTTTGAAAAGCTCCAAACCAGGTTTTAAATTTAGCTATACATCTATACGTATCATTAGAGTTCATTTGTAGCATTTAAAAGTGACCTGCAGCCAGTTAAACTTTTCGAACATACAGTAAAAATCATTAATAAATAGTTTTTTGTTAAGTAACACATACATAATAGAACTGTTGTTAAGTTCCTTCATTCTTAGTGTGAATATGAGGAGGTGGGTGGATAAGAGCACCTCACCTAACAAGTTGTTCAACCAGATTCCAGCGTCAAACAAGTAGTGGTAGTGTGTCTGACTGTCGCTCCGTATTGTGGCATTATTCCAGGGATGGATTGTCTTAAGACTTTTACGAATCAAGTCCAGATATTAAAGAATCAGTTATTAAGACAGACCGCGGACAGAGACTCATGCAGCAAAGATCAGCAGAGGGTACGTTTTCCAAATTAAATATTTTTCTTCTCCTACTCAGATGTTGACTACAGATGATATTTTTAAATTCACCACTCATGGCAACTGTATTGCAGTTTTTGCTGGGTTGTTTTGATGCAGAGAAACACAAGTTCAATTTTGAGAGCAGGGTGCACAAAAACAACAACACTGTGTTTCCATTTATACAATACGTCTTATACTGCTGTCTAAAAAATAAAAATCCTACTTTTTTTTTAACACAGTGCATCAAATAATAATAAGTTCAAAACTTGATTTAAATGGAGGTGAACTAAACTGGAAATAAAATTACGTAAACTGACCTAAAATATTTACTAAAATATTCTAGTTTTGGAAACACAATATTGTTTTTTGTACCACATACTCTTAAAATTGCACATCACCTATTGTTATATTCTACAGGCACAAGAGAACTTCATTTGGAAGAAGAACTGAAAGAAATGTTAGCAGAAGACTCTCATTTGAAGGATTTCACTGTGATAGTTGTGTGACTAAACTAAAGAGATGAAAACCAGAAATGACTAAAAGTTAGTTGGCAGAATTTAAAGAATGTAGAGAAACTTTCTAAATACACAAAATCAGCTAAATGTTTGAACTCATGTTTCAGTGGTTACACAGAGAACAGTAACACTTCACCTTCCTGTCTGCTCTCTGGTCTTCACAGGGGTCTGGGGGGATTCCTCTAGCCAGGAAGGTGTGTTATGCTGTGGGTGGGGTCCCATATCAGATTACCACAGTAGCTATAGGTGTTTCCCTGCAGATCTTTCTTCTGGATGTTGTGCAGGTAAAGATCACGGCTTACAAAAACAACCACTTGTTTTTCTTAACTATACCATCTTGCCTCCTGTATGTGTCTGAATTTCAAAATAAAGCATCTCGGTGTCTCACAGATGGAGGCCTCCTATGTTTCCATGATTTTATTTGTGAGTCGGGCCTGGGATGCTGTGACAGACCCCGTGGTTGGATATCTGGTGGGCCGCAGTAACTGGACGCCCGTCGGCAAACTCACTCCATGGTTGGTTGGTTGGTGGAGCCGAATGTTTAACACACTTCATCTTGAATTAATCTGCGATTCATCCTCCGGCGCTGTATTCAACAGAGCCAACCATGTTTATCTCACAGGCTGGTTCTTTCCACGCCATTTGGTGTCCTGTCCTATCTGCTGCTGTGGTTTGTGCCACGAGGCTCAGTGTCAAAGGCGCTCAGTGTGCTGTGGTTCCTTACAGCAGCCTGTCTGTTCGAGACCCTCATGAGTGTAAGTCAGTGTAAGTGTTACTGGCACTTCTCATTCCTTTACCCCAATTAGTACAATTTTGAAGCATATATCTGAGTGTTTTCATTTTATGTTACTTTATACTTCTTTTTCACTACATTTCAGAGGGAAATATTTTACTTTTAAAGGACCAGTGTGTAGGATTTAGTGGCATCTAGCGGTGAAGTTGCAGATTTATTTGAATTTGGCTCAGCCTTCCTAGCATGTAGGAGAAACTACGGTGGCTGTACAACTGCAAAGACCCTATCTACAGCCAGAGTTTGGTTTTTCCATTCTGGGCTACTGTAGAAACATGGTGGTTCAACATGGCGGCCTCAGTAGAAGTGGACCTGCCCCCTTTGCAGATAAAAACGGCTCATTCTAAGGTAACAAAAACATAACAATATCCTATATTCAGGTGATTCTACACTAATGAAAACATACCTGTGAATATTATATTCCATTTCTGCCAAAGGATCCTCCTAAATGTTACACTGGACCTTTAAGTCCACTACATTTATCTGACAACTCCCTTTTTAGTTGCTTTTCAAATATAGATTTTATAGGACCCTCATCGCAAATTTCAGATGTCTAAGAGTTGTCCTCTCCTATTCATCACCTCACAACTCCTCAGATTTATGTTGTGACCCTTTTGAGAGGCCCAACCCCTCAGTTGGGCACAACCTGACTTTAAGGTCCAGCGTAACATTTAGGAGAATCTATTGGCAGAAATTGAAGATAATATTCAGAACGTTGAACATTCATTCTGTATGTTTTCATTAGTGTACAATCACCTGAATATAGGAATTGCTGTGTTTTTGTTATCTTAGAATGAGCCGTTTCTATCTGCGGAGGGAGCTGGTCCTCTTCCGCTGAGGCTGCCATGTTGAACTGCCATATTTCTACAGTAGCCCAGAACGGACAAACCAAACTCTGGCGGTAGAAAGGGCCTTTTATGTTTTGCAGCCACTGCAGTTTCTCCTACACTTCTCATTCCCTCATTGTTGACATTGCTGTGCTGGTCCTTTTACTTCAATCAATGCTGGTACCCATTTCTTTGTCATCTATCGATCTTTTTGCCCCCACTACTGAGCTCTTTTCTCCATCTTTCTCACATCACCATGGAGACAGAATTTCCTACTATTTTTATGTCACTGTTGCTGCAGCCATTTTGCTCCAAGCTGTGTCACCATGGCTACCGAGTTTCACACCGCTCATGTGCTGTCAGTTGGCCTCATGTTTTCCCCTGTCATCCATTAACAGTGCTACAACGTTCCTTACCTCTCCCTCAGCATGTTCCTGGGGGGAGATCGCAGAGACAGAGACTCTGCCACAGCCTACAGTAAGAGTACCGACACTCATCTCAGATCCTTATTCTCAGGTCAAGCCGAACAAAATGTAGACCAGGATTTCCCCCCTCACACGCCTTGTCCTCTTCGCTTTGACTCTGTCTTTCTGTGGCAGGAATGAGCGTGGAGATGCTGGCGATGCTGTTGGCTTCTGTAATTCAGGGTCAAGTTGTAGCTGTGTACAACAAAGAGAAACAAGATGTCTGTCAACATTTGGACCATGAAACACCTCAAAGCACATCTTCACCACAGAACGCAACCCTGCAGGAAACGGTAGATCCTGAACCTGAAGCGTTATATAAACTAACTGAGCTGAGATAACGCTCACATTTCCCTAGCAGCCCAGCAGCATTTCTTTGGCATTGTACTCACACAGTCCCAGGGATATCTTGTTACCCTGTAATTTACTGCCCTTAGCTCAACATAGGCATTGTTGTGTGTTCATCTGTGTGTGTGTGTGTGTGTGTGTGTGTGTGTGTGTGTGTGTGTGTGTGTGTGTGTGTGTGTATACATGTGTTCTCAGGATTTTGTTGTTGTTACACATCTGCAGTGTTGAGGAGAACCAGACTAAATGTAATAGAAATAAATAACCTCAGTGTATTTTGAAAAACAACACTTAATTTAAACTATGTAAGTAATAAATGGGGATTATGTTGGACTAAAGGAACAGTTCCACATTGTAGTATCATGCTTCGCCTCTAAATCTCTGCGAAATCTAAACTAAAAATTAAAACTAGGCATGAAGAAACATTTTAATTAACTAAAGTAAATCTAGGGTTAAGAAAAACAAAAAATTACTGAAACAATATTATGTACTTGAAAAAAAGTTAAAATACACAGGAAATGTTTTAGTACCGGTAATTATCAAATTAGTCAGTACAACAAGCATGAGGGAGCGTTGGTGCAAATGTTTTTGAGACTACGATGTCTAAATTACTGTGAGTCAATGCTTTTCTGACAAATGCTCCAAAATTATAATAATGAAAAAAACTAAAACTAATACAGAAACTAATAAAAACTAAACATTGTCAAACAATAGAACTAAACTGAAACAGACAAACCCATTCTGGAAACTGACTGGAAATTAAAAACAAAATACAAATAAAAAGTAATGGAAAATACTATAATAAGCTTTGAGCACAAGTTGAAATGGTCATTTATAATCATGAAAGTGCCCTATTGAATACTCTGAAGTGGGACAACTTGCTTTGATCTAAAGGCAAAGTAATCCCAAACATATGAGGATTATGTTACATAACTGAATAGCAAACATTGTAAGCCTCTGGGTATGTGTTTGTTGGCAGCATAATATCTTTAAATGTCTAATGTGTGTTTTTTTGCCCCCCAGCATAAGGCTTTCCTGACCTCAGCTCTGGTCATGGGTGCCTTGTTTTTCCTCTGCAGCCTGGTTCTCTTCCTGGGGGTGCAGGAGCAGCAGGGTGAGTCATTCAAAAGTGGTTAATGCTAATTATTTTTTCAGTTTTCATTACAATTTCACAAATATTTCACTCTTCTTCCTTAAAATTTCATTTTATTTTCAGCGCCTGTCTGCTCTGATGAGAAAGTACGACCGTCCTATCTGACCTCGCTGAAGTTGCTGATATGCCACAAACCTTACCAACGACTGGTGCTTGGCTTTGTGTTCAGTGCACTTGCATTTCAGGTACAGTTTGAGCTCATAGTGGCTGTGTCACATTCCTCTAAACCACAGCTCTAAAGGAGTAAAAGGAGCTTCATAAGCTAATAATCCTTATATAATTGTCCTTTCATATCCATATCTGCACTTGGTTTCCAGATTTCTTTTTCCATATTTAATGCAAAATGTACCACAGATTTCTGGGAGCTCTCTTTTTTTAGGGACAGGGTGCTTTTTCTGATCTTTGAGTTAAAGTGAGTGAACTTTTATGATATTGTGTCACTATGGTGATGGCAAGAATAGCATGCATGGGTATCTTTATTAAGACCACCCAAAATGTCACCAATCATGTTTTCAGGGGAGCACAACAGCACCAGTTACACCTTTTTATAAAAGCATAACACGTGTTTTTGTCCTGTATCTGTTATCTCAGATGTCGTTGGGTAACTTTGCACTCTTCTGCAGTCATGCTGCTGGGCTGGGAGCCCAGTTCCAGCACCTCCTACTGGTTCTACTGGTGAGATACAACTAGAATCACACACTCTGCTCACCAAGATGTTTATAAATGCAACATCTCAACAGGCCTTTCAAGGATTTCACATGATTAAAAGATGAATGTTTCCACAGGCTTCTGCCTCTATAGCAGTTCCTCTGTGGCAAGCAGTTCTTCTGAGAATTGGAAAAAAGGCCACAGTTTTCATCGGATTATCAGTAAGCTATCGCACATATTCTTATACAATAATCCGAATGAGAGCCATGTACCACATCTTCAAAATCTCCTTCTTATCTGTGAGGCCTGTCTCTCTCAGCTCTTCATCCCAGCAGCGATTATAGTTGCCTGTGTTCCCAGTAACCTGCCAGTCTTCATGACTATGTGCATTCTGATGGGATTCAGTGTGGCGACCATATTCTTGCTACCCTGGTGAGTCAGCTCCCAGCTAGGACACAAAGTTCTCAGTCCTTTCCAAGGCCCCTGTCAGCTCTAATCAGTATCAGAACTGAATGCAGTGCACATGAATCATTCACATTGCCCACCTGACTCTGGCCTCTGATGAATATTCTAGCGAAGATGTGTTTTGTTGACTGCAGCGCCGCTCATCTAAATTGACATGGGTTAGGGTTAGGGTTTTGGCATGTGATATGTCAGCTTGTTGTGTATCGGCTATTAGGTCTATGCTCCCCGATGTGGTGGACGACTTTGCTGTGAGACATCCGTCCTGCAAAGACCTGGAGCCTCTGTTTTTCTCCTGCTACGCCTTCTGCAGTAAGCTGGCAGGAGGCCTGTCCGTTGGGATCTCAACCATGACATTGCAGTGAGTCAGTCCTCCCTCCACTCACTTTATGTGTTATGTGTGTACATCTCTCGGTTCATCACATTTTCCCTGTCTGCAGATTTGTGGGCTACAGAGCGGGTGCGTGTAACCATGGCGACGGAGTGGTGATGGCTCTGATTGTGCTGTTCTCACCAGTTCCCATCGCACTTCTGCTGATAGGGATGGTCTTTTTTCACTCCTACCCAATCAATGAGAGGCAATCTTTACAGCTCCGGGAACAACTGACCACAGTTCAGTAAGTGGCTTTTCGGGTGAATTATCCTCTCAAGAGATGAAGGCCATCGATGGTTCCTGATGTTTGTGATCTTCAAAGTGCTTATAATGATATTATATAACAATGATGGTTATTAAATGTTGAAATTATGCATCATAGTGATCAACCTACAGAAAATAATGATGTAAATCTGCACCTTTATATGATAATGAGGATACTTTATTATCAGATCAAGTCTGATCCATTTGCCACATGACAGGAAAGACATAAATTAAGTGAAGAGATAAAGATACAGACATTTTAAGATAACATTACAAACACAGAAGACAGCTTAACTGTTACTTAACAGATGGTTCACTCTCACTGCTCCTGTAGTGTTGTTTTCTGCTGCAGCTGTTTCAGCAAAAAAATCAAAAAAATAAACTCTTAAAAACTACTTTAGTGACTTGTTGGTGAACATAGTGGAGCACTTAGGAAGTTAAGAGCCAGATATTTCCTTTAGGAGTTGGTAGAAGATGAAAACTCAGCTAAAAGAGAGTGAACATTTTGACTTACATTCATCAGGTTGACAGACACATGACCCCAAATGACAAGTTCACAGTCTGGATATCAAATAGCAGCCTGGTTATACCTCGAGTATATATTTCAAAGCTTTTTTCCAAAGCTTTGATGTCAGCATTGCTACTGCGCTACAAGTCAATGGGATATTAAAGAAATTATTTGACATACTGGTAAATTAGCTTATCCCCCTTTCTTCCTGAGAGTTAGATGAGAAGACTGACACCACTTTGTAGCTACAAGGAGCAAGTGGTTAGCTTAGCTTAGCATAAAGACCAGAAATAGGGCAAACTATTATACTACTATTTGTTATGTTATATGTTATGCTGTTTGTTTAATCCACGCAAAGACAGACGTGTAAAATGAGATATTGCTAATCACTGAGCTTCAGAGGAGTTGGTAGGCTTTTTTTTTTCAGATTTTCCAAAACCCTTAAACCATGAACACTCTGACTAGTCAAACAAATGTAATACATGCACTGAAATAGCTGCAGAACAATAACAGCTTTGTGATGTCTTTTGCATATATGCGCAGACTGTTCTCGCTCTTTCAGGATTAATTATATCCATAGAGACACTGAAATTCATATTTCTGTGAAACCTCTTGCAACACATCTTCCTTGCAGTAATATCTATGTATATTATCATAGCATCATTTTCAAAAACAGCATCACATTTATCAGATTACTGTATATGCCAGTAAAAACAACTTCATAGTGACATACATGTTTTGATTCATTAATATTCTTTGTTTTTCCTCCAGCACAGGAGCTACATCATCCTCATCGGCCCCGGGAGAAAACTCAGAGCAGCCAACGGTTGTGCAGCAGCCCCATGCTGGTGTGACATCAACTTCACATTATCACACAAAGACAGACGCGTCATACAAGTCAAATTCCTCACCGGGTTGTGACAATCATGATAAAAAATGCTCAGTCAAGTCATCTGTCCTCTCCAACGTATCAAAGAGCCCCTCTGGACAATACAGGCGGCCTACATCAGTTGTCCAGTCAAATGTTAATCCTCAGTGGCATAAGCAGAGCCCATACCGGCACTCTGGAGACGATAAATTGGGCAGAAATGTCCCTAAAAATGACCCCGGGCCTTTCTCTAGCAGGTCAAGTGTGAAATCCAAAGTGTCGTGGGTATAGTCTGACACCTTTAAGTGATAATTTGACATTTTGGGAGCTTATTTTTTTTTTTACTTTCTTGCAGAGAGCTCTCATGTCTGTACGTTAAATACGAAACTACAGCCAGCAGCCAGCTATCTTAGCTTAGCATAAAGACTGGAAACATCTAGCCTAGCTTTGACCAAAGGAAAGAAAAGGTCCCGTACCAGCACCTCAATAAAGTTCACTGATTAATACATTAAACCTTGTTTGTTTTATCCATACGAAATCTGAAGGGTGGAAACGACATGTTGTTGCATAGCTACATTTAATGCTACTGTTTGTCTCTGCAATGTTGTTTATTTGGATTCATGTTGAAGTTACAGCAGGTTTTTAAAAGTGTATGTAGTCTAATCTTGTAGTCATTGTTTGCCCCATATGCTTGAAAGTTGCATTTATTTTCAACACTATGCATACGTTTTATTTGCGTACATTCACACACCTCTGCAAACTTCCTGCACCAGTGTTTATTAATTATTAAAAATTAATAAACTTTTGTCAGTAATCATTCGTTTGTACATTTTCATTCAATGTCATCAGCTCAGTACATGTCTGATTCACTCTACACACATACAGTACAGACGTGATGGAAGCTCTCTTACCTTTAGACAAACACTTTCTACATTAGACGTTCACACAGCTTGATCCCTGCATTAGGTTGTTGTTGTTTTTTTTGTGAGTGAAAAAAAAAAGACGGTGGATTGATTAAATGAAGGTCATCTGAGAGGTGTGACAGTTAACTCAATCAGACACTTTCATTGAGTTATTTTAGGGCCTCAGCAGGCAGCTGTTTTCATTGAACAAGCTTTAAATAAAAAAAACACTAAGTGGAGCATTTAGCAGTCAAATACAGAGCTAAAGGAGAGTGAACACTCGACTAAAGGGCCAAACAATTCAGTATGCATCACAGATTAGTACCCACATCTGTAAGCCATCAAATAACCATTAATAACATCATGATGTTACTGCGCTGCTTCTGTTTTTGCGTGATTTTAATACTACAAAACAAGGTCTATATATGCAGTGTTTATAGGGTTAAAGGGTCAGAAACCACCTACGTATTTCCAGCAGTGTTATCACATCACCACACACAGGCGTGGTAAAAGGAACATCAAACAATCATTCAGGTCTTGAGCAATGGCCCACGTTAGGCGAAGTTCTTTGGAAGGGAAAACGAAAGCAAGCAGTGAAGTTTTTATACAGACTGTCACAATTTACAGACTTACTTGTTAGATCTTGACCCCGACTATACCGACTACAGTTTAGATTATTCCCAATGCTCAACTTTCAGTTTAACCTGATTAAACTGTTAGCTCGTTTGCCAACTGTCTGATCATCTGACTGCTCCTGTTACTTTGCCTGTCAGAAGTAAAAAAAAAAATACAAAAAAAAACTACATGTACTAAACAAACAAATCTGTTATTGATATACTGGATCTGTCCTACCGTCACACCCTCCTCTTTACCTAGTAGGCCTTCGTCACTGCTGGCATTTTAACTTGTCAAAAGAGGAAAAACACAGGTGAAACTAATAATAACGAGAGCTCTGTTCCATTTATGTGTAACGCTGTGAGCCAGTGTGCACAACACGGTGCCCTGGAAGTGGAATTTGTCATTCAGCACCTGTGACTTTGCTGCTTTTCTACGTCAAAATGTCTGAGAAAAAAAGTCTGTTGATCGGCTTATAGACGGCTTATAGACATGGACGGATTATGAGACAATGGGACCCTGGCTGGACTCAGACGTGTAAAAGGGAACCCACCCCCTCCTATAGCAAGAGCAAGACACCTGAAGGAAACACAGCGTCTACAAACGACATGGCTGTGTAATTTGCAGTAGTTTGTTGTTTAATTTGCAGTTGTTTTCCATCTGCTTGTGGCCACTTTGTGTCTGTTTGGAGTTGGTGTGTGTCTCGTTGTAGTCATTTTTGCATCTTTGTGGTCCTTTTTCTTCTTTTTGTGGTTGTTAAGCTTCTCTGTGGGGTAGTTTTGCAGCTTTTTTGTCATTTTGCTTCTTTTTTGTGTGTTTTTATGGCAAGAAATGTCCAAACACAGGTTCCTGACCCCTGGGGCCCCTGGCTCCCATGCTCACGGACATAGAATTGTGGCTTTTTATCTTAATATTGTTGGGTATTATAACCATTTTGAGTATTAAAACATTTGAATATGTTTATATATACATTATATTTGTTTAATAGGTTAATTGTTAGTTAACTCAACATACTGATCATTGGTTTTATGTCGACTTTTCACCACATAGGAAAAGTAGCCTAATTGTTTGAAGTTTATTTATTTAAAATGGGACAGTGAACAATAATTAACATGAGAAGTCCATTATGTAAATGTGCCGTGCAGGCTAATTGTCATCTGGCAGGTGGATGTGAACATATAAAAGCACATTAACAGACAAATAATTGTGTAAATAAATGCTATTTTAATGTTTAGCTTAGTCTGATGTGTTTTTAATGTTTTACTATTTGATGTTGTTTTGCTGCTTTTATATTTTTATGTAAAGTGTCTTTGAGTATTTAGAAAAGCGCTTATAAATAAAATGTATTATTATTATTATTATTATAATAACCCTACAATGACCCTAGTGATATGTCATAACCATACAAACACAGAAACACTACTCCAGCGTGACAACAATGTTATTTATTTGTTACGTGTGTAATTTGTATTAACATAAGACGCTTGTATGTTTGGGTTAACATGTAGTTTCAAAATAATATATAATTTTAATGATAATACTATTAATAATAATAATAATAATAATAATAATAATAACGCCTCAATCGGTGCCGCCCCCCCCTCCCCTCCTCCTGGTGCCCACCCAGCCCGGCAACAGGCCGCCCCTGCCTCCTGCTTCCGCTCGCATTGTAGGGTGGTCGAGAGGAAGGTTACCGAAGAGCCAAAATGGGAGTAGAAATTGAGACCATAACTCCGGGCGATGGTGGGAATTAATCGGCTTTTGTTTTAACACCAAAACAAAAAACAAAAAAAAAAAAAACAAACCCCCTCTCTTTATTATTTCCTCCGCAGGGTACAAACATGGTGTTCGTTGTTATACATGCTTTCTCCATTTTCTCCCATTTTTCTTTCAGGACAGACATTCCCGAAGAAGGGGCAGCGCGTCGTGGTGCACTATGTCGGTGAGTGACAAACACCGGAGGCTGAATGTGAAACGTTTTCATTTCACGTATCCATGTTAACCGTTAGACGCGTGACCGAACCGTTGGAGGAGCCGTTGGAGGAGCCGTTGGAGGGGTTCAGCTTCAACAGCCGCTGCGTTAGCATAGCAGCTAGCGCCCAATACGCTGTTTAACAGATGGCGTGTTGTGTCCGTTCGGCTAACAGCGGCTAATGCGGTGTTTTTAACAACCGGAGCCCTCTTGTGTCGTGTTTTCAGTAGTTTAAATGTACTTTGTGTTGACGTTATTTCGTGGCTTTGTGTAAGTAGGGAGCAGGAGTGGAGCTAACGGTACCGTAGCTGCTGTCAGCCCACTAACTAACCGGGAGCTAACCGGGAGCTAACCGGCCCCCCGGGATGCTAACGCTAGCCAGCTAGCTCCTGGCACCGCTAGAAGGCTGCTTTGGCAAAGAGAAGTGGGACTTTTATGGGACTATATGACATCTTCATGTCACGATTATGACATGTAAATAATTGCGATACACCGTGGTGTCACGATAGTCACGTAAATAAACTCCACGGGTTTAAAAATGGCACTAAAAAACACACCGGAATCACCTTTATATGTTAATAAACATGTTTATTAGGGCTGCATATGGTACAAAAACATCATGTTGAGATTGAGGATTATGTGTGAATGAGCATTTTTGCATTACAAATTTAATTTTCACACACAAAAAAAGAAAGTATTAAAATCATGATGATGTGAAAGAATAAGATTTACTTCATTATAATGCTGTTTTCTCACATTTTTACCTTTTGATCAAAACATTACAGCTCTTGCTATTTGCATATTGCACTGTGATTTCAGTAATGTTTCTATTAACTGTGCAGCCCTAATATTAACTGCATCACAGATAGGAACCGCATTTCCCTGTGCTTTATTTGGGAATTTATACTATTTCTACACATCCTTTTTTTTTATTTTAGTGGGGGATGTAACAAGCAAACCGATCCTTCAGCCATGGTGATTTAGGATTTAGGCTTAGGGTTTTGGACTGACTGGAAAGATGGAGGCTGCCCCTTGTCCCCTTGTTCAGAATAAATCAGGAAATCAGACTGCTGGCAATCTCAAGTCAATCTGTGCAACAATATTCACCGTTATCAGGTGTTAAAACAGGCTTATAATGTAGTAACGTTGTGCTGCAGAGATTCACTGGTCTACAAATCTTGTTCCTCAGATATAAGATGTTTATTCACTACAGACCCCAACAAATCATCACAATTTGAATAGTTTTGTTCTGTGGAAATGTGTATCCTCATTAATGGGGAGTCATATAGCAGTCGTAGTATCTGTAATAATAATAATCGCTTATTGTGCCGATCGTACCGCGATACATTTATCTCAGTGTTTCTTTATCGCCATACACAATAATATTGTCTATCATCCCATCCCTAGTGGGACTCATCAACAACCCAAGCTGATCTCTTGGTTTTTATCAGGCACACTGGCAGATGGGAAAGTGTTTGACTCTTCGAGGTCCCGGGGGAAGCCGTTTAAATTCAAGATTGGACACCAGGAGGTTATTCGTGGTTGGGAAGAAGGAGTAGCCCAGGTGAGGAGCTTGTTGTTTACACTGAAAATGATAACTCTAATGAGCTTAACAGTCCGGGTTCCCCACGGATCCTGGAAAACCTGGAAATGTTTTGTTGGTTTTCACCTGGAAATTGATTAAATGACCAAATATAAAGCCAGCAGTGTCCTAGAAATGAATGCAGTTTGTGAGCGAGTGCTGTCCTGAAGAGAAGTCCTAAGTATACACGCCTAGACATTTGTTTAAATATGTTATCTGTTGCAGCGACTTAAATCTAAAGCGCAGTAATACAAGTACCTTTTTCCATTTTCTCCACAGATGAGTGTAGGTCAGCGGGCGAAGCTGATCTGCTCTCCAGACTTCGCCTATGGCAGCAAAGGGCACCCGGGGATCATCCCACCAAACGCCACTCTCACCTTCGATGTGGAGCTCATCAGCCTGGAAGCCTGAAACTTGTGCACTCACTTTGCTTAATTCCACTCAAATTATCAGGGTGAGACGTTTTATTTGTACCATATTCACGTGGTGGCCAGAGGGCGGCAGGAATATATGCTGATTTTAATTAAAACACATATTTGATATTTGCTCAGGAAAAAACCCCAAAGGAAAATATTTGACCTCAAAACATTACATTGTTGTGGCACTGTAGTAAAGCATTGAATAGAAATACCTCAAGGTGGGATTAGACATGTCTTTTTTCATTTAACTTAATCCTGTCACTTTGTCTAAAAAGTGTCAAATCATTAAATGAATTAACATTTTTAACACAGTATTTTTAGAAT